GATTATCGTGCATTGGTGATTGCTGATTGTCCAGCAAAGAAAACAAAAATCACACTCAAAAAAACATATTTTACTTATGTATACGTATGTATGTTTGCTATTAATAAATGGCACGTACATGCATACATCTGCAAGGGAGTCAAGGCAATGGTTACTTTAACGCTAACTAAACTATTTGTTAATAACAAAAATATATAAGCATAATAAAAGAAAACAAAAAAAAAAATACCAAAAAGCAGGTCAAAAGCGTATTTTAAGTACTCGTATTCCAGCTGCCTGCTTATCATGAGTGACAGCCGAAATTAGTGGAGATCCAAGCGAATTTTCGAGTGGGTTAAAACTAGCGTTGACGGAATGATGAAAATCCAAAACAAAGCGAAAACATGTTATATTTGCATACAAATATATATATGAGAAAAAAAAACAACTACCGTCTAAGGCATATACATACACATATAAAATTAAATAAATAAATAAATATATTTTTAAGACACGTTCTAAAAGCAATAATAATTAACAACAACAAGAACAAAAAGAAGCAAAACAACAAGCAGAGAAGTAAGTTTGACAAAAAAGGAAAAGAAAAAAATTAAAAAAATAAAAATATAAAAAAGGAGTACATTAAATATACACCAATATATAAATATACATAAAATATATATACAAATATATATATATATATACAAATATATATATATATATATAAATATATATATAAATATTATTACTAATGATCAGAAAGCGACAGCGCAAGAACTGCATTGAAGGAAAGGAAAAAATCCAGAGGGATTAAGTCTCTCTATAAGAACGAAACATGCATATTGTAAATTACTTGTAAACATTTTTTGACTGTCCTAGAAAAAAGAAACAAGCACACAAAATGTAGCTTCTCTCCTTAATCGGTATATATGGAGAGAGAGAGAGAGAGAGAAATGGAATCCAAGTCTATAACAATTCTCAAAACAATACAAATCATTTCTAGGCAGCTATGCCAAAAACAAAAAAAAAATGATAATGAAAATGAAAACAAAAAAAAATAAATACAAATGTATGCTAAACTTTGCTGGCACAAAGTACAGTCAGCTAGGAAATTTTTTATGTTGTAAGTCGAAAACCGAAACCAGAATGGTGAAAGAAACACAAGCAGCTTAGAAGCAACTCGCTTATTGCAGCTGGCCCAAAGCGAATGACAATTGAAGGCAGCTCGCTGGTTGGGCTCGTTGAATGCGATTAGCTTTGAATTGCCCGAATCGGTTATTATAGTACACACACATACATGATGTTGTACGAGTAAGTGAAAAACCAAAACAGCTTTAAGCGTACTGTTGAATTTTTTCTAGCATTTTCCCTGTTAACGTTCGTTATGAGTAGAAGAACATGCTTTACACATTTTATTTGTAGTGCTCTATTGTTAAACACGATTCTCAAGACAGCAAACTACAACAACAAGAACTTCATGCAAACTACATTGGTATACCGGATCAATAAAAGCAACAACATTAACAACAACAACAACCAAATTAAATGCGTCCTTGTAACAAAATCAATTTCAGTCAATTAGAAAACACAAAAAAAAAAATGTTACAGCAACAACACAAAGAGCAACATAAAGACATAAAAAAAAAACCAAAAAAAAAACAAAAAAAAAAACAAATGGAAAACAAAATCGAACATTTTTTCATTATTTTTCTACTGAAGGCGCCGTCAATGCGAAAATCGATGGGAGAGAATTTTGACGGCGCAGGCGCAAAAGCTTTAAATTGAACATAATTAAACAAAATATGTCCCTCTTTTTTATATTGGGAGGAAAAACGTGTATAAATAAATGCATAAGTATGCCGTAAAAGATTTTTTAAACAAAATATAGACACACACATACTTTAAGCTAAACGCCGTTTTTGAGTCAAAAGTCAATTTTGTGGTCGCAGCAGGAAGAAATGAAGTAGGACACGAAAAGACGAATTGTAATATGTAAAATAGTTTTAAATGTGAAAAAAGAAAAAAACAATTACGAAAAGACAGAGCAAAGAGTAAACGTAAACGTTCGGTAGCTACTTATACGACTTACTTTCCGTTTATTCTTTTATATTATTATTATTATATATATTGTCTTATAAAACATATCAGTTCTAATTATGTGTATGAGTCAAATGACAACAAATAAATACGAGAGATAACGATAACGACCGTTAAATACAATTACATAACTAATATCTTATGCTAACGACGAACTTGTTTTTCATCATGCAAGCACACATACACACACATGCAAACGTCGCGAGCACAGGATCACAGGATCCCTTAACTGAAAGAAAGTGAAGAATACTTATAGTTATTAGAGGATCGCGTGGGTCGAAGCGAATTTGTGAGCCTTGTACACTTTGAATGGTAGCAATATCCATTTCTTGCATGCTTATATCAGACATCATTTTCTATCTTCAGTTTTGAGTTTTAGACATAACATAAACATATGTACATACACCAGACCTCAGCACAGATAAACTCACACACACACCCCACACTTACACACACTTAAACACAACATACTTACACACTTATACACACATACTTGGTAAAGAATGCATACAAATGAACCTACATACGAACGATCACTTGACTATTTTTGCTATAAGTAAGAAATTCCCCCCAGGAATATGTCAGTTTGCAGTTGGTACTCCTACTGACAAAAACACCTTTACTATATTGACAATATCTCTTATATATTTTACACTATACTATATGGAAAAACAAAAATTATATATTAATATATACAAGAAAAACAAATAACAAAATATAAAATAATAATAAAACAAAAAAAAAACCAAAAAAAAACAAATACAACAAAAAATGATTAATATAAAGATAATGACAGAGATGGCAGCAGTAACGTTAAAATTGTATTTACAAATGCGTAACCAGCAAAATGAAATCATTTTAATACTTTATACACGATACAAGTCGAAGGAATCTTAAAAAAAAAAAAAAATCCAAAAAAAAAATCCCCAAAATTTAACAAGGCAGAACAAGACAAAAATGAAGATACATTTATATAAAGCGCGATAATAAAGCGTACAGTTTGTAAGTATTCTACTATGTAAGTAAAAGTAATTAAGTCGGAGCGTGCGATGGATGGAAAATCAATTAAACACACACATACATACTTAGATACTCGTATAGTATATTGTGCGGTATCTATGAAACGAGGAGAGGAGTTCAGTTGAATGCAGTGGAGTGTAGTGGAGAGGAGCACGCACACTTTGAGCGCGAATACTTTAAAAATTAGTCTAGGTACTAAATCCCAGCAGGACGCATTGGGCATCGAGTGATTCAGGATGAGAATGAAGTTGATGAGGTTTTTGGAGGCGTTGCCAATGTGTGTATATAAGCTCTATATACATATATAGTGCATATATATTGTATGTATGACAGTGTATTAGCTATGAGAAAAACTGGTACAGTACTACACTTACAGCAAACTATACAAGGTAAATTATAATAACAACAGCAACAACAAAAAGAATAAGACAAAACCGTGCGAAAGCCATACACATAAATAGAAGCATAACAAGAATTTAAAAAATACAAAAACAAAATTAAAAAGATTAAAGTAAAAACAATTTTTTCATTTCTATAAAGAAATCCGGTAACGAATTTGTATATTTACTACGAGAAATACAAAAACCAAAAACAAAGAAAGACAAATTATACATATAAATATATATATATGTATATATATATGTACATATATACATATATATATGATGATACCAAAAGGCAACAAAAATCTTCATACGACCGCAAATATGCCCATATATACATTCATATAAATACAAATATATACACATATATATATATGTGTATATCATATACTATATATAGCATATGATATATTATATATATGTATATATATACATGATAGTTATATAACCAAGAACAACAAATAAACATATAGTTAAATTCAATAATGTTAAGCATATGATGAAACACTGACAGGGGCGCATGCCGATGGTTAAAGTAATTCAATTATTTATAAGGACCCTTGGGAAAAAATAACACACATACAATATGAGGCCACCAACAAAGATGAAAATTAACAACTGAATCGGATCATTCAGATACGGCAATTATTGCTATTTTCACACACTTCATATACACCCACACACACACCCCCACACACATACACACAAACACAGTCGGTCAAGAGGAAATTGTAAAAGTTTTTAATACACACACACAAACACACAATATCAACAAAAGAAAAATAATTATTAAAAACTTTAGCAACAACATTTACAACTTACAACCTACCCCATTAACTGAAATTGATAATGACGAAAAAAAAATCACTTTGTTCGCAATGTGTTACGTAAAGAAGCGTGTTGTTGAGGGAGGCAGGCCTGAAGGATATTCCAATGAGCTGGTTAAAATCGGCATAAGCATTAAACAACATCCGATATGCATGCATATATAAATATAAACTATAAAGAAACATGATTTTAAAACCGAAATGAAAATTAAATAATGGCATTATAAGTTAAGATAATGGTACATAAGTTTAAAAAACAATGGCAAAGAAACGCTCTAGAGCAACAAAAAAATATATAATACAAATTATATTGAAATAACTGAGAAATAAATAAATTAATTCATAATGATTAATAAACAAATATGAACATTGTTCAAAAACATACATTTCAGCCTTTTCTTCTCAATTGGGTGGGCAAATTTATGGTGATTAAATCTCTGAAAATCTAGAGTTTTAAAGCATACTTTTAGGGCGAGTTAAAAGACGTGGAAAATAGCTCTAGCTCGCCCAAATCTTGTAATGGTATAGTGCGTTAGAGCCGCAAGGACATCCTCTATCGAACTGCAATATCGTTATAGACATAGAGAATATCATTTAGGGTCCATCATAACTTGCAATTTGATTGATTTGGATATCCTTTGGCCAAAGATTTGGAACCTTCAGCATCGACAGTATTGATAGAAAAATGCCAATATAACATAACAGTAACACCCAGATTTATTAAACTTTTTTTCAGTATACAAAACAGAAAATACACTAGCATTTACAGTACAGTGTATATTAATAATACAGCATTAAATCGAGCTCAACTCGACTTTTTTGACTTTTTGGCCAGCTTCCTGCCATCCCACCACTTGGCATACCATTTGCCACTACGTTCGGCGCTGCTATCCGCATCGTAAAGTGGCACATAATCCATGTGAATGGAGGCACGCAGTCGATTGTACATCAGCATAGAGGAAGTAAAAGAGGCGATGGCGCGCGGTGAGTAACGCAGACGATACTTAGTATAGGGATAGGCCACACGGATCACAAACTCCAGTAGAAACGCAAGGAAGAAGTACAAAAAGTGTGGTATATACCACCAGCTAGTCTTCACCTTGAATTGCCCGCCAATCAGCGCCATTTTCTGGATAAAGCGTGAAACATCATTGATGCCCGTATCATCGGTGACGAAAACAGGCAAACCATTCACAGCCTTGGTGGAAACCTTGAGCGCCTTATAGGCACAAATATGACCCCAGGCAACGTTGCCGGCATAGACCAACTGCTGTTTGCCACCAGCTCCCGCAATTCGTGGAAAGATCCAATCGCGTGTGGACAGGTAATCAAAAGAATCGGTGATGAAATGGGAATCACACTCGCCATAAGTCAACGGGGCACGTATTGCGGTAGTGGCCAGATAATCTATGAATATATACGATTACTAGAATTGAAAAATAGCAGAGAATGACAATCCCAAAGCTTACCCAATTGGTTTTGCAGCGGCGCCCCATTAGAATTGAGTACTATGTTCTCGGCACGCAGCTTGCTGGATGCATAACCGGCTATGAGAAACTCATTATCCTGCTCCCACAGCTTGGAACTATCAAGCTTGGGCGTATCAGTTTTGGACTCTGTGGAATTGATAATCGCCGCAAACGTGCTGCGTCCCTTGAACGGCACAAAGCACACCGAAGTGCAGCTGCTGTAGACCAAACGCTTCACATTATTTTGTATGCACAAATCTACCACAGCTCGCGTTCCTGTAATTGCAATTTACGTATATATTAGTAATATGAATTATATATGTATATAAGCCCGTAACAATCAAATGTGTTCAGCATGTTACAGCTTTAGCTTGTGTTCATTTTAGTAGCACCTATAGTTAAGTCAAGTAACAATAATAACAACTTAACCATAAGGAAATATAATACATTATTTTAGCAATTAGTTGAGACGATAAAGAGTCCAAAAGTTGCTCGTGTGACGGCGTTGGAATCTGTTAAAATTGTATTCTCTTTTTTGAAATTGGTTTGACATTATAAACAATTTGATATATAAAGTTAAAAACGAGTTTTTGGGACAAATTTTGTGTACTAAATCGATCGCAAACAAGTAAGTAGGCTGTACATGGAAATGACTGACTAAGGAATACCCTCTGCATTTAATAAATCAATCTCACTGCGCCTCTGGATACTTCTGCATCTAAAACTGTTGTCTTTTAAAATATATACTAGACAGTGCATAACTAATAACTATCCTCATATAATCACTTGCTATTGGGTATCATCATGTTAAATATAATCATATCAGATGACAAGGGCTTTGTAAATTTGTGTCACGCTTCGATTAGTTTGGATGCACACATTTATAATGTATGTTAAACTTTAAACATGCAAATTTGAGTGCACTCACCATTTATGTTCACACGCTCCAGTTCCTCATAGTTGGGCGGATATTCAATTTTAACGGAGGCGGCGCAATGGAAGACGCTATCAACTCCCTCAAAGATTTTGCTTAAACTCTCACGTTCGCCGCTAATGTCGGCGACAAATGTGCGCAGCAATTGCGGCGTCTCCAAGTGACCAATTTTGTTCTTGTACGGTACAATGTCGAGTGAGCGTATCTCTTTGATGTTCAGCTCCTTGCGCTGCTCCAGCAGCATTTTGATGATATGCTGGCCCAAAAAGCCACTGCCACCCGTTACAAGAACCACATCGCCAGCACTACTTTCCATTTTACGTCTAATGTCCAATTTTATGTCTATGAGAACGCCAAAAACAAAAAGGAGAAATGTTAGTAGTTACTTGGAAAGTGCATGGGCCATAAAAAAGAAAAGGCAACAACTGAGTTGGTCAACTGAATGCCATAAACTGTGCAAGTCTGTCGCAACCGAAGCCTCCATCTGCCGCTGCAGCCACATAGACGTTATTATCAAAGCCAAAGTGGTTCACCATGGCGAAACCTTCACAGAGGTCACAAAAGCAACTTTATTCGGAATGACTTGGCGGTTTTCATAGCGCATGGATTACGTGCTGCTTTGTTATGGTAATGAAGATCAGCGGACGACTTAACAGACGATCATATCTCCTATTTATCCCCAAAACTCCTGCTTTTTGTGGTCATTCAAAAGTCAAGGAATTTATTTTATTTTCTGTCTCTACAAAAATTACAAAATATATAATTTATTTAAAAACTTCACTTTTAATTTTTATTTTATTTCATTTTTTTTTTTTTTTTTGCTGTTTCTTATTTAATTTTTATTTTATTTCATTTTTTTTTTTTTTTTTGCTGTTTCTTATTTATTTTGTGTCTACTTCCTCTGTTTGTGTGTTACTTGGCCATGGTCAAATTATCATCACCTTTGGCCAACAGCAACAGACACAAATCACAAACGGCAACAAAGATTTACTATTTTTGACGCTGGGCTAGTGGCGATTGCAACACATCAACTTCAACAACAAAAACCAAAACAGAAAAAGCGGCAAATTGCAAAAACAACAAAGCTGCAGCAGCGAGAAACTAGCATTAATATAATTATTACGAACTGGTTTCCGCGTCTCTGTTACAACATCAAATGTTGGCTATAACGACAAGTGATTGAGCACTGAGTCTGACTCTAACTCTTGGCCTACCTGTTTGCACATTATATTGGTCTTATAATTGCCATTAAGAAATAAGTGCATTTGACCCGTGTACCGTTACATTTTCCACTCGTAAAACACTTCGATCAACGTCCTGAACTTACCACGAATAAGATTTTGCCGTTTGCCGTTGCCAAACAATGTCTTTTCGCTGCCTGTCGCTTTATAACTGATGGTCTGGTTGTAGCACGAATGGAGTTACAAATAAACTGGCAGAGTTGCCAACTGTTGAGCTGATTTGTTATCGAAACGCAACAGCTTTGATCGCCATAGTGTTATCGATCGTTTGCGGTAGCGCCACTTTTGAATAAAATGCATTATGTTTGGTAAAATTCAATTTTTATTCAACAACAATTAAATGAATATGGACATTAAATAGGCTTATATATTACATAAATAGGTTTCTTTATCAATTTTCAAACGCATCGTGTTAATTACACAGGCATATTACAATATTCAATATATATAAGTACATTGTTAATTGTTTTCGTTGCATCCTTCTTCATATATATAAATATAAAGTAAACGAGAAGTTAAAGGCCGTTGATACAAATGACTTTGGATTAGATTAGGCGCGCTTAAACATTAGCATTAACATATACATACATGGAATACAAAATGGTGTTTAGTACAATTAAAAATTCTCTTCACATTTCGGTTTGGTTTATTACATTACATTATTTCGTATATATATTAATCTTCAGTTAACTTGTAATGTATGTATGCAGGTTTCGTATGTATATATCAATCTGTTAAGTACTAGCTGACTTCTTTGATTACTGTATCTCTGCATTTGTATAAACATAAATATTTATATATATATCATAATATTAATGTACTCACGTTTCACCGTACAAACTATAAATAATCATTAATAATTATCTAGCAATTTCTTTTAGTTACAAATACAAAACATAGTAAATTTTGTTTCTATTGCATTTAGATGCATAATTGGAGTGACGTGAAGCAATGAAAACAAATTCTATAATTATTAATTGTCGCGCTATGAACAATATGAATGTTGATTGTGTGTATTAAACTAGTTTAGGTGTATATAGCTCTGTATATGGTATGTATACACACACACATATATATATATATATATATATATATATATGCATATTAGGTATTTTGTTATGCAGTTGCAAAGAGCAACACTTTAACTAACATTATTTTACTTTAACTATTACAAATACATTTTCATTATCAGCTATTATTGTTGTTATTGTTTGTGTTGCCGAATAACACTTGCACACATACACACATATATTATATATAAATGTGTATATCCTTCTTTTTCATTCTATTCAGTACGATAATGCTGACGGCGATCGCGAACCAACTGTAAAATCTTTATACACTGAAAACACGGATATCTGCAAAGAGCAATATTAAAAATAGTTCATAAATCAGACATGTATTTACACATTTAATGAGTATACCGCATGCATATGGTCGAATTAATTGGTAAGTTGCGTCACAGGCAAGACCTGCATAATAATGATGCGGGCAACTTGCCAAAAAAACAAATTAAACTTGGCATTTAATATACAACTATTGGCAGGCCAATTCACACTCTCGTCGGAGGAATGTGTGCGTTCAATAAATAAAACAAGATGAGTAGACAAAACCAAGGCAAACAATTCGCTTATCAGCTCTAAGTGCGAGTCAGTGTGTTGATTACCTTGTCTTTCAGCTGCTGACACAGTTTCTGGCCATTCATCAGCAGCAGGAGGACATCGTTGAGCCACTGGACGCCAATCTCCGCTTGACGCGAGTCGAACTGCATTGTGCCCTGATTGTTGAGCAGCTGATAGACGGCAATGATGAGCTTATGGCTTTGCAGATAAAAACTAACGGCCAGATCCTCGGGCAGGTTGGGCACAAGCGACTTCATATTGCGTCCCTTGATTAGCTCCTCAATTGGCTTCTTCTTCGGCACCAGCAGGCTATTGCGACCGCGCTGCAATGCATCCAGAATATTGCCTATCACATGGAGCACTTCATCGGAGGTTCTACAGCATCAGCATATAATTTATAAATCAGAAAACAGTCATGGAAAATTACACGAACACACACACTCACTTGAAGTGATAAGAGTCATCAACGTCGTCAATGTGATTGATTGCGGTTTGTAGATGATTAGCGGCATCCTGAACTTGCTGCAATTTCCAAGGCGAATCATGTGTTATTGAGGTACGTTGCGTCTGACTCGGCGCCTTGCACAGCTTAAAGCTAATATCCTGTAAGGAATAAGCAGTCATAAGAATGTCTGTTGGAGGCTGTTGAGCGGGTTATGCGCTTACCGCCTGCGTTATCGCATCGCCCGTCAGGGTAAGCACCGCTTTCAGCTGGTCGGGTGAAACGCTGAGTATAAACTTTTCAGTCTTCTTGCCCTCGTTATCGTACAGCGGCACCGGAAATCTATGAGCGCATTCCTAAAAAAGATTTGGCATTAGTTTTGCAACAACAAATACTCTTGGTTATTTCTAGGTAATACTTACAACTAGTATAGTTCGCAATTGCTTTAAGATCGCATGAACCTCTTGTCTCAGCACCCATTCGAATTCAATTTGCTACAAGAATGTATATATAAATATATATAATAGTATATATATAAATATATATATATATATATAATATATATATATATATAAATATATATATAAATATATATATATATATGTGTGTGTGTGTGTGTGCGGGTAGGCGTTTTTGCGATAGCGCCCCCAAAAAAAATAACAAAGAGGCAACAGCGGCCCGTTTCATGTACAAATCAATAATATCGGCAATCGTGCAAAGTAGCAAGAGAAGTGGGAAGAGAACAAAAACAAATAATGAGACGAAGACAATCAATAATCAATTAGCTACGCTGTTGATTAATTGCTGCATTGCATTCTTGGCGTAGGCTTTTGAAAGACATTTGTAATTACACAGAGACATACCAAATTTAGAGCCTCCTCTCTCTCGGTGTCAACGACAAGCATTTTCATGGTGCTTTTGACCTTCTTGCGGGCTGTTAAATATCTCCGTTTGGTTTTGTCAGCTAATGCTGCAGCACCCCCGTTAGCAGCGACGCCAGCTATTTGCAGTGAGAACGCTGTAATGTTATTGGATGATGTTGTATGTATCAGAGTTGTTGTCTATATAAGTCAGTAGTAGTGTCTAACAACTGCTTCTGTTCATGAATGAACAAACAAAAACGAACGAATGCATCTTCTGACCGATATCACGATATTGTTTGTGTCATCGCTTGCCATCTCTAATGTTGCTCAAATTTTAAATTGCTCATATAGCATGTGGTGTTTTATGTTACTATTGTTCTAAATTAAGTTAACAAAAGATGAGAATAACTTAAGACATTTCTAAGTAAATGTTTTCCATACAAATGATAAGTAGTTTTTATGAATAGTGTAATTGCAGCCCTGACTAGCCATTTATCTTGCTATCGATTTATTGCAAGACATCGATACAGCAAATACGATGTCATGTGAATGCTTAAACATGGGCGGTTATATTCAAAATAAGTGATAGGACTTACGTTTCCGCAGGGGAGGGGGTGTTGTCAGCACCGCCGTCTCCGGCACCGGATTAAGCACATGGTGCTGAAATTGTCCGCTACGCTGTCGATGTAGTGGCTGGAATGACCAATTTGTTGTCGAGCTGCAAAATAATTGAAATCACATATTCAAATAACATGTTGTTATTATTATAATCAACAATATACGACTTTATTGCTTGCACAAATATACACAAACAACAAAAAGAACAACTCAGTTTGCCTTATCACACTTTTTTTTTGCTTTTTGCTTTTTTGTGTTTGATTTTTGGGGCTTGATGTGATTCAATGTGAAGTGTTAATTGCCATAATGCCTTTTGTATTGGTCGCTATCGCTGTTGCTGCTGCTGTAGTCGAATAATGATTCATCAGAGCAGCTGTTGGGTTTTTGGTTACTTCTGAATCTTTACCCGTTTCGCTTGAACTGCATATAATGCATATGCAATCAGGGGTTCCCACAGCGCGCGTGTCAGCAACTTTAATGGCATTGGCTTTCGGCTTAAAATTACAAAACGCGCTTATCAAGCGATGCTGACGTTTTCTTTACATAAACACACAAATATATATCTAAAACACGCGCATAGGTTTTTTTGTTTTTTGTCTTTAACAATTTATCAAGCAAAGCCTTTTTGTTGTTCTTTTGATAAGGGAATGTGATGTCTAGAAACAATTTGTATTAAAGTATTTATGCGGCCGTAAATTTTATAGACACGAAAAGTCGTCGGCGGCATTTTTAACACATTCGATAAGCTGCTACCCCAAAAGGTATATTTATTTTTTATTTTATTTATTATTTGTGTACAAATTAATATATATTTATATTTATATATATATATATGTAAATAACGGTACCTCTGCGGCATTTTCTTGTTAATATTTGGAGCTATTTGTTTGTTATTATCAAAGGCAAACACTTCACAATCACGAGCGAACGTTAGAGCCAGGTTAAGTTGTTGTTGTTAGCGGTGGGTGCACATGCGATCAGATGTTGGTAGCTGAACAGCCGACAGGTAACAGCTAACAGCTAACGGCAAGGCGAGCGCACACAAAAGCCACAGCCAAGCAACTGAACCGACAAACGGCGGCCCCAAGAAAAAAAGGCAACACACATACACACATACTTGCACACATACACTCCAGTAAAAAAAGCGCCGCCAAGTCGAGCGGGCCAACAACGCGAATTGGTCAATGGCAGGCAGCAGCGGTAGCAGAGACGCTGACGCCAACGTCGCCGTCGAGGCCAGCGTCGAGCGCAGTTGTTAACGTAGTTAACTTGACGAGCTTTTTTTGCCGTCAGCTTTCTTCAGGTGGGGCGCGCTCTTCACTGATAGCCAGCCGCGTTTATCAGCCAACTGTGCGGTTGGCATTGACAGCATAGCACAACCATAATACGCTTACAATTTGTATTTGTTTGTTTTTAGGTGTAGTTTTTGTAGTTTTTTTTATCGTTCATTTTCTTCTTTTTTTTTTGCATACACAGTTTTTGTTGTATTTTTATTTTTGTTTTTTGGTATAAAAAAGTAGTACAAAAGTGTTTAATGCTATTAATTTGAGGCTGTTTCTTTTTTGTTCAAATTTAAATACGTGGATTTGTTTGCGAAGTGAAACAAATGTGCAAATATAAACAAATATATGTAAACGTGGGCCCAACAGGTGTGTCCATGTGTGTGTGTGTGTGTGCGTGCGTATGTAATGTGTGTATGTGTGCCAGGGTGTGTGTACGTAGTTGTGTATGTGTATGTGTCAGTGTATCAGGGTATGTTGTTGTTGTATGGTGTGTGTTTGAATCTTGGGGACTGCGTTTATTTACTCGCCGGTCATCATCTCCATGAATTCTGTAAATTAAACAGAATGACAGACATTAAAAATCGAATGTCAAAACGATCGTAATATGCATTTATAAAAAAATATATGTAAATGTTATATACTACGTATATATATATATATATATGTATATATACAGACGTACAAATGTAGTTATTAATCACATATACCACGACGAGAACAAACTGATGGAAATTCGGCATAATTATTTTGTATGTCGCGCGCCGCTATAAATAGCATCGATATGCTCCAATACGATGAGGCTGTCATAATCGAGAACTCAAGATCAACACCCAGAGAAGAAGCGATGTCATTTCGCCTCATCTAGCATCTAGCTGATGTTTACACAAATTTATGAACGCTTCAAAATCAGTGGGTGGCTGTGTTTACGTGGGTGGCTGGGTGGTTCTCTATTTTTTTGCGCAACCAACTAGATTCCATAAATACATACGTATATCCACATATTTATATATATATATAAATATACATTTATATGTCATACTCTCTTCAGATTTGCCAACTCACCATCGAAATCAACTGTACCGGAACCATCACTATCGATTTCCTCGATCATAATGTCCAATTCCTGTTCGGTCAGCTGATCGTCGAGCTCCTTCAGGATCTCCTTCAAGCAGGTGGTTGGAATGAAACCGTTGCCCTGTTTGTCATACAATCGGAACGCCTCACGCAGCTCCTTTTGCATGGCCTCCGCATCCTCCTCCACAATGAATTTGGCAGCCAATTGCACGAACTCACCGAATTCCAAGCGACCAGACTCTGCAAAACAGAATTATAAATTGTTAAATAGCTGGAAATTTAATAATAGATTACACTACATGAAATATAGCGTGTACTCAATGAAAAAATATATGCCACCATCAGAATAATGTATATGGCCACTAAATTCAGCTGGCTATCACATCCAAATACATGGCAAGAGTAATATAATGATACTGAATCTAATGGCTTATTTCCTTGAGCAGCTAATGGGGAATTCGTATACTTACTGTCCTCATCAACCTCCTCGATCAGTTCCTCCAGGATCTTCTTGTCGAAGGGCTGACCTTCAAGAGACAAAACCAAAGTAGTTTAATAATGAAATTCTAAGTCTAGTCGCATCTTGTAACCTACCCATCAAACGCAGAATATCGGCAACCATTTCAGTGGGAATACTGCCCGATTTTTGATGATCGAAGCTGTTGAAGGCCTTCTGGAGAACGGCAATTTGCTCGGGTGTCAGATCCTCATCCTGATCGAATAAAATCCAGGATTTTATAAATTAATTAATTCATTTAATTGAAATGATTTTTTTATCATCTGTTCTACTATTACTTACAACGCTGCTCATGTTGCTGCTGTTTTTATTTTTTGTACGGTACAAAAGAAATTTATAGATCGATCTGTATCTGACAGATTGAACGAAACGATCACCTCGGAGTATTCGTGCCTACTACGAAGCAACGCGTCTGAGTTTTCCAAAATATAGCCCAAAAAAATTGAGATCGACTGTCTCTGAACTTGCCACAAACACACAAGCACATAATGCGATCTTATTCGTATACCTAACGAACCCGAGATGCTCATTTCGGAAAATGTATTTGTATACATATGTAGCGCTTTTCCACGCCCGATGCCTGAATTTTATTGTTTTTTAGAAAGAACTGTAAATGCGATTAAAACGATCGCGTCCGCATTTCACGTTCAAGACGACGGGCGATGCCAGTCCGAATGTGAGCCGTATAATGGTTTTCCAACCAGACGGAGCAGCACCAGCAACAGCAGCAGCAGCAGCAGCAATCTCAGCGATTCCACACAAGCAGGAATGGAGCAGAAAGCGAACAGAAAGGGGAAAGGGGATGCTTGCCGAGGCTGAAGCTGCATGAATCGCCAGCTATAATGCGATGCGTTGCGCTCTTCCCAAGTATACAAAAAGTATAAATGTATCTATATAGTATTTACGTATGAACAACATGTTACATATATATAATATATATGTATATATAGACAGCAGTTGCACGACAACAACACTCGAGATATGGAGAAATGTCCAAGTCAAGCATGCGCTAGACAACGCATAATGAATTGTACGCTACACTGAAAGCAATGTGGCGTATTGGTTAGACGCTGGTGATTGGCAATATGCCAAAAGGCCAAGCATAACAAAACAATATCTCGCACAAACAATAGACTTGTCAAGCAGGATTAGCCGTCCAGATATTCTACAAATCAACCTTCCAAATTGGATTAACCCAAAAGAAAAAGTGCCACAATATAAATATTCTTATGAACAAAGGCCATATATCATATATATATTAAACCAATTCGATTTCAGTAAAGTGAACACAAACCTTAAGCTTTAATCGATAAAGTAAATTAAATATAGTTTCAATTTGATTGGAAACATAAAATGGAAATTCATTCTGTACATTTATTATCTACAGCTGAAGTTGAGTTAATCCCAAATGATTGCTCGTTGGTTTCTATTATTGCGGCGTGATAGCGTGACGAAAATAGTTGCGCAAATAAACTATTATTATTATTATTACTTGATAGTATTGATATAATATATAGTGTGTACTTTAGTTGCAACTTGGCTTAGTTTCGAAATTTGCTGGTTAGTGCCAAACCCGTTGAACTTCCACATTGGTTAAGCAAAGCCGTCAGCGTAGCATGCGATGAGCTAAGCGTCGAACTGCTGCTGCTGCTGTTCATCACTTTGGCCTTCAGGGGATTGGCGGTGCTGCTGCCCACAACGGTGCCCTGCAAACAGGGAGCTGCTGTAATCGACTGATTAGTCTGATCTTTGGGCGTTGCATCCTCAACGGTTGGCATTAGCATCGTCATTGGCATCGGCGTCAGTTGTGGCATTGTGGGCACGCCTTGTAGCAGAGCATTGCGTAAATGGCTATTGTTGTTAGTCATCTGTTGCTGCAACTGCGGTTGTTGTTGCTGCTGTTGCAGTGACTGTTGTTGTTGTTGCTGTTGTGTTTGCTGCTGCTGTTGTGGCTGCTCTTGCTCTTGTTGCTCTTGTAGTTGGTGTTCTTGCTGCTGTTGCTGCGGCGGCTGCTCCGGATTATCGGCCAGAACATAGGAGTTGGTAATCAGCCCACGACTCTTAATATTCAAATCCACAAAAAACAGCTTCATCTTGTGGATCATCGTCTCGGTCACATTGAAAGTGAGCATCATGCTAAGATCAATGCTGGCTTGATTCCGGTACAGCTCATGGGTCTGCTGCAGCCGACAGACCTCGTCGTAAATGAGAAATAAGAAACGCGAACTACGATTCTCGGGCGGAATAATGCCACGCACCATTAGCCACTCACGATCCTCCGCATCCGGCAGATAACGTATTATCTCGGGATGCTTGCTGGCGAGTCGAGCGCCGCCCAGTTCCTTGCCATCAATATTGAAGCCAAATGCCAGATTCGCCTGCACATCCAGCACAAATTTAGTTGAAGTCGAGATTTGTGCAGTGTTCCAGAAGATCTGACGACGCACCGGAGTAGGCAGCGGTCCACTCATTAGCAAATGTTGCTGTTGCTGTTGCAGCTGCAGCAGCTGTTGTTGCTGCAACTGTTGCTGCAGTTGCTGCTGCAGCTGTTGCTGCAGATGTTGGTGCTGCAGTTGTTGTTGATGTTGTTGTGCAGCCAAAGGATTCGAGGTGCAGGGCATGGGCTTACCAGCTGCGACAGGAAAACCCAAATTGTTGGTATACATTTTGTTGTTGTTGTACTCAAGGGGCTTTCCTGGACGCTTGAGCGCCAGACGCTGCTGCTCGGAGGTAACTGTTGTTAGTGCACCACCTGGTCGCTGTTGTCGTATTAGAAAATTTGTATACTGCCCCTTGGCATTCTCCAGCAGCGCACAGGAGGACATTTTCTGCAGCGTCTCCTCATTCACTGCATACTGTCTCAGATTCTCCTTAATGTTGCCAAAAGCGGGCTTGAAATAGTTCTGCGAAGAGTAGCAAACAAATGTCTTTAACAAGTCAACTTACATCTTTTAGATACCTACGTTCATATAGCGCTTGATAATATCATTGACTTCCGCATCGAACGCCTGCTGCACGCTGATCCGCAACAGTTCCAATGCTCGCATAGCTGACTCTGCATTGCCGCCACTTTCCATGTTGTATACACCATTGTATCGATGCCGTATCCTCTGCAGCATTGTTTCCGCCATCTCAGAGGTGGTTATATATTTCTGTTAAACAATGAAACATATTGAAAAATTAATATTACTATAAGTATATTCTTATTCCTACGAACCCGTGCGGGCTCCATTTCATTCGGCGCCAGCGTTGATATTATCTCCAATGTGGGCGCTGCCTCTGGCTGTTTCGACTGCTTCAGGGGACTTGCAAGGCGTGTGTCCATGGAATGTGTGGTCTGATTGGAGCAATCCGAATCATCCGAAGAGGAATTGACCTGAAGCGCAGCAGGCGAACGTTGCTGGACATCACTGATGGTATTGTGGTGCGCTATGCTCGCTGTATCGCTCAGAATCTTCCAGCTGCGCTGAATGACCATTTTGTAAAAGTGTTCTTTTATTATAGCTCTACGTTTGCATTAATTTTTCCTTGAGTGGCTGTGTGCTTTTTCTATTTTTTTTTTTTGTTTTATCTGGGCTGCGTTCTCTGGCCAGGGACCAAAATGTGTATGGCTGCAGTGCGCATGCGTTCTAGAGCCACCACCTAGAACTCCCACTTCCGACCCTCTTAAGCAACAACGACACAGGCGCTCAACAGCTGATACTGGCAGCAGCAGCAGCAGATGGCGATGCCGGTTCCATGCAGTCCATATCCAGTTCACCCAGTTCAAGACGTCGCTGCTGATCCAACATGCTGCGCAACTCTGCATACTCCGCAAGCTCATCTTCCTGCTCCTGCTCCATGGCAACCGAATCAACAGCAGCTACAGCAGCAGCTGTTTCTTTAGTTTCTGTGTTTTTCCCGCGTTTTTGATGTTGTTGTCGCTGTGCCAACAACTTTTTGTCAAACTCATCCATGTACTCTAACGCTGCATTTGGTCGGTAATCCTCTGGCGCTGCATAGCTGCTGTGCACAGGCAACTGCAGTACATCGGGCATCATATAGGGAAACAACCAACAGACGAGGGGAGTTGTGCCGCATTCGTAACTCGCCTCCTTGTGGTAGAAGAGCAGACCGTCCAGTTGCGGCTGATTGTCCGTCCACTGTGGATACTTTTGAAGCGCCTGGTCGACTGCAGTAGCATCTTCAAAGTCATAATATTCCAGCAGCTTGAAAGGTTTTTCATTGCGTTTACTGAGCTCTTTCAGTTCCCCGTGCTCGTCGAAGCGGGAGCGCAGCCAGAAGAAACGAAAGTTGGCATCACAATTTAGGAGCTGCTGTTGTCCAAACGCAAGCGCATCCAGCACATAAAATGTGTCCTCCTCTGGCACATAGACACAATCCAAGATGGTCCTGAACTTTTGCATGTAGCCATCGCCTGGCAGCAGGGAACGCAGCTGCATTGTGATCCGACCCGCTTTGTTATACGCCTTGGTGCGTCCATTGGCGGCAATGACCAGACATCGTTTGCCCACGGGACATGGGAGCAGCAGCCAATCGGCTAAATTCTCGGGACGATGACGCAGCCACTCCGATTGCTGCAGCCTAAAATGTTGTCCCTTTCTTTCCTTGCTATTGTTGCTTTTGCGGTTGCGTTGCCTCCGTTGTTTACGTTGCGATTTGCTTTGCTCTGCGCGTTCCTCCTTTGTTGCCTCTTCGTCATCGTCGTCGGAGTCGGGTACGTGGCGGTATTCATCTTGCAGCTGTTGTCGTCGCTGCTTCTGCACATTGAGCAGCTGCTGCTGGCGCAGTCTCTGCTGTTCACCCAGATCTACGCTCTTTTTGTACAGCTCCTGGAAATTAGAATTCATTGCTATTTTTGCACAACTCGACAATAAACAAAACACCGGCGAATGGAGACGGTCACACTGGGGATATTCGCACATTTATCGATATGCATATTGCGTCACATCGATACTATCGTCTGAACAGCTGTTTTGCATTTGCTATTGCATTTAGCTTGTGCTAGTTTTTATTTCAACTTCAATTATTTGCCAGAAAACATTCTATGTTATTTAAACATGAATAAAGCTTCGAGTCTATTTTGGCCAGCTTTAGTGACACCAAAAAATGCGATTGTCAAGCAAACAGAGCAACTGTCCCGCAGTCAAAAGGTAATTTCTGTGTGTATTACGAAAGCACCAATCAGATTATGAGATTTTCCATTTACAGCTTTTAACGGAGCTTGGCCTGGTTAAGCCAGGCTGCAATGGCACCTACCAGATCATGCCCATAGCGCAGCGTGCGGTGGACAAATGCATTAATTTAGTGCAACGCAATATGCAAGAAGCGGGCGGCCAAAAGATCAGCATGCCTGTTCTAACGCCCACACAACTGTGGAAGAAGACTGGAAGATTAGAAGGCGACATTTCCGAGTTTTATATGGTGCGCGATCGCAGCGGGAAACAATTCCTGATGAGTCCAGTGAGTGAGTATAGACTGACTGGAGTGCTAATCTACCGATTACGCAGGTCTCAAAGTTAATATAACTATAATATATTTCTTAAATCTCCCTTGAAGACTCATGAGGAAGCGGTGACAGCCATGCTGGCCACAACAGCGCCCATTTCCTATCGCCAGCTGCCCTTGCGTCTATATCAGATTGGGCCCAAGTTTCGGGATGAGCTCAAGTCACGATTTGGCCTAATGCGAGCCAAGGAGTTTCTCATGAAAGACATGTACACATTCGATGTGACGAAGGAGGCTGCAGAGAAGACTTACGCGAGAATTAGCAATACCTACGCCCAGTTCTTTAGACAGCTAGAAGTGCCGTTTGTCACAGGTACCATAAATTCTGTATTTATTCACATATCTACTATTATCCGTATTTATCTTTGTAGTTGAGGCTGCCACAGGCATTATGGGCGGTAGTTTATCGCATGAATATCATTATATTTCACCAGTGGGCGAGGATACGTTGCTCAAATGCAACAACTGCGGCTATGCGGGAAACGTTGAAGTCTTTGGCAACACTTCAGCCAACACATGTCCCAGCTGTCAGGGATCGCAATTGATTCCCGTGCGTGGCGTGGAGGTGGCGCACACCTTTCTGCTGGGCGACAAGTACTCAAAGCCGCTGGGTGCTACGTTCCTCAACACTTCTGGCAAACCAGAGACTCTCGTCATGGGCTGCTATGGCATTGGCATCACTCGTGTCATTGCTGCCGCTCTAGAAGTGCTCTCGACGGAGCAGGAGTTACGTTGGCCCAAACTACTTGCACCCTACGATGTCTGCCTGATTGGGCCGAAGCAGGGCAGCAAGGAGCAAGTGCCGGCGGAGGGTGTAGAAATCGAGTTACTGCAGCAGCTGACGCAAATTTGTGGAGCTGAGGAGCTGCTGCATGATGATCGCAAGGAGCTGACCATTGGGAAGCGTTTGTTCGATGCAAAACGCCTGGGACACCCACTGACGATTGTAGTTGGCACCAAGGCTGTGCAGAAGGAGGAGCCCAAGCTGGAGTTGCACTTGAGCGGAGCTGAGAAACTAGAGCTGGAGTTGCCCGAAGTGCTTAGCCTGGTGACGGCGCATGTGCGGCACAAGCAGCAGCTGCTTCAAGAGAGTGCTACAAATGAACAGGATATAGCTCAATTGCGTACGCAGGGGAGGACACTATCCTAAGGTTTTCAAGTGAATAACGTCACTTACGTCACTCACCATTTAAAAATTCGATTGCATTGTACCACTAATACAATAAAATTTAAAGATATATGAACTCCATTTGTCTCCTTTCAAAATGTATTTTCCCCTCGATATGTTTTGAAATGTTTGGGTTCCTAGTTGACCTCGTTATCCTTGAATGCAGTTCGATTAACGAGGTCTTTGCGATTCTAACTCACCAACTCATAGGGGAATTGCAATATTTCCCAGTTTGCGCGATTTTTTTGTCTGTGTGCCCCTAAAAGTATGCTACAACATTTTCTCTATCGGAATTTAGTCAATGCACCAACCTAATATGTGTTACTGGTGCATGCCCATGATATGATGTCTTTGCTCAATTCTCATTCCCATTAGACAAAAAAAAACGAAAATGTTAGATAATTAGTACTTTATTTTGCGTGTCCTTTCACAACTAGTGCAATAACAAGACTTAGTTTATTCTTGAATCAATATCTAAAATACCTTATTGTATATGGTTATTTCAAAATGTTAGGAACATAATAAAACTGATAACTATTCAGTTTGATGCGGAAGTTTTGAAGTCAAGATAAATAAAATGCAAATTTTGGAAAAGCTGTGAACATCCTTGAAACACTCATACGTCTAAAGATTGGCCATATACATTAGCTTTATGTGCATATAATAAAGGTAACAATAACTCAAAACAATGTAGCAATAATTTAGCACCTCAGCTGATTTGCCAGCAATCAGTGACATAATTCCATAATTCGAAGGAAAGCCGCTTAGTACTCCGTGTAATCCGGCTCCGGTATCTGTGGGTATATCTGCACCTGTTGCTGTGGCTTACGGGGTGGTGGTGGTGGCTTCGTGATCATGCTCGTATATGACCAGGGCATCTGATTGCGCAGCTCCTCGCTGAAGCGCGGATTTGCTGGCTGTGCCGGATAGATTTCCGAATAGCGACTATTTAAAGCTGAGCCAGTTGCCATCTGCTGTGCTGCCGGCGACATGGGAGCCCGTGGCGAGCTGGGCTCCGTGGCGGGATAATTGAGTTGATCGGGATGCGCATCTGTAGTCCGATAAGTGTTAACCTCTGGCTGAACTTGAGCCTGTTGTTGCTGTTGCTCCTGTTGTGGCAGGGGTGGAAGCACCAAAACTGGCGATTGAAGCGTGGTGCGATCACTGGCCTGATAACGTGAATCCTGTCGCTGCATCATCTCGGCAGTTTGTGCTGGTATAATAATGGGCAAGGGCTTGGGACGTATCTGCTCCGGATACTGCTCCAACTCGGGTGTTAAGGAAACGGGCGCTGTTGCCGGAAACCCGGGCTGGGCGAGCACCACAGACTGTGGGGTTTGCGGGCGTGGCGTCATCTGATTGTTGTGAGCTACTTGGGAGACCTCCTTGTTTTGTGCCGTCTGGTTCGCCAGGACATGCGACAGCGACAGACAGAAGATGCCGCCAATCAAGTTGAGCAGCCAGATGAGCACCACACGACAGCTGATGCAGGTGAGCAGGACGGCAGGCGTGGAGAAGTAGACGCCAAATGTTTCCAAGGCTGACCAAATTTGCTCGGGCATTGAAACCGGTGCGGCGCCAATAAAATTGAAAGCATCATCTAGGGACTACATAATGATTAACATTTGAAACAAATCGTAGGGAGACGGCTATTTTCTCAATCTTACCAAAGTATGGGATATATCCAGACCATGATAGACAGTGGCAACAACGTCCAGGATGCAGCCCGCTAGCACGGACAGAAACCAGGGCCAATAAATAATGCCAGAAATGAGTTTAGTGGTCGCGCAGCACAAGGTAACTATTCAGATTTAAATAATATACAACTAAATTAGAATAGAGCATTAAATTTGTAAACTCACGTATGATTAGAGTTGAGGAGGCTATCCACAAGCCACTAACTGCCGCATAGCAAATCATGAATATGTATTCACGATTGGTGACCTCAAAGGATTTCGACCAGTCCATCTCCAACTGGTAGGTAGTGTCGCGCATTTCAATAGTCGGATCGCCGCATCTCTCCTCTATTTATGGGATTTAAGTTAAATTTGACTGTTTTTCTTCTTTTTAAGTGATGCCACTTACCCACAAAGTAGATAATATCCATGGCAAACTTGAAGGGATCACTGGCAATGTCCGATGTAGTCTGGCAATTACGCAGTGTTATGCCCCATATCGAAAGGCCCAGATAGACGAGTCCTTGAACCTGTACAAATGTTTTCGGTATGGTAATAATAATAGCAATTAGTCAAAATGAATACTTTGTAAATATCAGTGGAAATGCTTTTGTACGAATTAAATAATAGATTCAGTAATCAGTCAAACTTTTATGTTTCAGATTAAGGGAGTTACTTCACACCACAGTTGCTATCTACACTGAGCGACATTTATGATTTGTTAGGTAAACGGCTGGTTATTCCCAAATGAGTTCTATAAAATATCAAGTAATTGATTTGAAATATTATTCAACTATCATGTTGATAATGAATGATTAATTAGCAGGCCTTACAAGGTCAATTCAGAGAATAACAAAGGGTATATTTGTATATAATTAGACATGTTGCTTTAAAAATTCGTGGAAGTAATAAACATAAATGTTTTATAATTCATGGGAATTAGGCATATACCTATGGATGACTAATGTCTTTTCCTTAGTATTAAAATGATGCAGCGACATTAACTGAAGAACTGAATATATATAAGAAAAAAAATAGTTGAATGCAATCTTGATCTGTTATAAATAATTCGACTTACCAATATGACAACAGCCATAAATAGCATAAAACACTTGGCAAATCCCACGCTGACTCCGGCCATGCTGGTCTTGTTATTGTTTTTACTTTTATGCTTAAATAGAACCTGCGATCAATTGCCTGATTGTTGCTACCATTCGATAAGACCACGCACGCAATACTTTAGGCTAAAAATTCAATTAGAAATTAGAAAAAAAAGCCAGCATAAAATTTAAGTATCTAATCAATTTAATGAGTTCTTCGCCATATTTTGATTGTTTTTTTTTGCATATATCAATTTAGCGAGTCTTTATTTTTCAATTTATTGTCACTATTTGTTATTGTTGTTGTCACAATCACATAGTGCGAATGAGTCACAGAATGAGTGCACTTGAATGAAATTACACTTTCGTATATAATATACTTTAAATGGAAATCAACTTGGGTTGGTTGCTCGATACGCATGGCAGCCATAAAAAACAGCAATCAGTTAAGAACATTTGTTGTTGTTGTTGTTGTTATCTTGCTCACCGTTAGAATAATAGTTGGTCTTCACTTGGCTGTTGTTAGATGTTATGGACAAGTGGAAAAGCGAAGCGCATTCGCCGGCAACTTTCCTTGGACTGAGAGCGTTGTGATCCATGCAGCGGGCAAAAACTCATCCGCCATTGAATGGCCATCGACAATCAGTACCCGAGCTTTCGGAGTTCTTTTGTAAATTCTTGACTTTTTTTTTGGTCATATGCGATAAGATAAACCTAATGAAAATTTAAGGGTAACACTTGCTATCAAAAGTTATACAACAAGAGCAAAACTATTGGGCCAACAAAAAGACTAGGCCAGGGGCAGTTAAGGCCAAAGCCCCACTCAGTCGACAAATATTTCGAGTGTACTCGCATTACAAACTGAATATGTATTCATATCGCTTATCAACAACAGGCCAACAATTGCTGGCGTTATCTGACACCTTTTTATTATGTAGCATATTCGTTTGAATTATATTAATGTGCAAATATTAAGACAAATAAAGTAGTATGGTGGCGGATTCGCGTAAACCCAAAATATACATATTCTTAGCCATGTGTGCTAATTTTAAACGATGAATGGAGCCGAGGCAGTAACAGTAAATATCCGACTGTTTTAGGTGTTGAAATGATTTGCCACACGTTGCGTATGCTTAATGCCTGCTCTTTTGGTCATGTGAACAGCCTGAATATGGCTCCCCTCCCTCTCGTCCCTCGGAGGAGTATATTTGTGCGCGTGTCGATGTATTTATCAGTTCCGCGATCGTGCTGTTTTGGAAATGGAATAAATGAACATGATAGTCAGATTCAAGCAGATGAGTCACTGCCAAACAAAGTGAACCCCAGTGCAATAATTGTACTCAGCCATCAAAGATATCAAGTGCTTGTTGATAAGAACGGGAAAAGGTTTTCTAAAATGTAATAAATAAATACAATTTATACAATATCAAGTGAAGCAAGTCAAAATACTTTTAAATGTATTCGTTGACAAGCGATTAACACTTATTATAAGTTTCTAATACATTATAAACCACGAATCTGGCACGAGCTCAACGCTAATTTCATTTTTATATACTAAATTAATTTCTATAAATAAAACTTTTTAAATAAAAATTTTGTCTACAAACAACTTTTCTGAACTTGAAAAAAAAAATTTAAAACGAATTTAAATTTGACTATGTCTTATCCATTTTATTGTTGCGCCAAGAGATGCCAAAATTATTTCAAAATTTCTCACTATCTTTATTTGTTCAAGATACGTTACTCATTTTGTTATTGATTACATTTTCAAATATGCAGTTGTTTAAATTACTTTCATCAACTCATTAGCACTTTTTGAGCATAACAAATTGCGATTGCCTGCAGATTCGCAGTACGAAATACACTCGCCTACAAAGTTAGGGCAATATTTGTGTAACCCAATTGCATGCTTATCTCAATTTGAGTCTTCCAACTGATTGGAATTATTTGCACAAGGTAATTAAGTGAACATGTGTATATTCTATAGAGTGAACGGAAACTCTATCTCTCTGAGAGGCGTTGGGAAAACGTTTATGGTTGAGCGAATCGCTTTTAGCGATTGAGCCAAACTTATGTTAATACATTCCAAAGCTGGCTATCTGTTTGGCTGTTTGCTCCCTCAATTAGAGCCTCGAATTTGGCAGATACCCCGAACTGTCCCCGTTACTAGTTTGAGCGTGCGATTTTTTTGTGTGAATTGTTTATTTAAATAAAGAGGCGTCAGTTTGCTTCTACTTGGACTTCAGATCAAATCACATGACTTTAATTGAACTTTGCGTGATATAAATATATGTATATATGGGTGAGTTTGGTTTTTTTCAGTGTACATGAGATGGCTAATACTAGAGAGAATTTGCCGTCTAAACACGGGCGCTCAAAATAATTGGCTCAGCCTCGACTTCAGCCACCTTTGCCTTGAGCTTCTGCTCCTCTTCCTGCTTCAGCTTGATAATTGGCTGCTCCGATGTAGTACTAATGATGCTGCCACTGCTGGTGGTGGTGCTGGCTGTTGTGCTGGGTATGGTGCTAGTGGCAGAGATGTTGGTGGTGCTAATGGGGGAGCTGTTGGTGGTTGTGCTCTTGATGGTGGTGCTGCTGCTGCTTTCGCCACTATGGGGCAGCTCTGTGCTGCTCGTGCTGCTGCTCGTGATGCTGCTCTGCGTCTCGAGGCTCTCAACGGGCGCCGTTGAGGTTATCGATGTCTTGGTAATGCTAATCTTGGTCTGTTTGCCATCGCTGCTGTCTTTGCTGGCATCCTCCTTAATAGTGGCGGAGGTAATCTTCGTGTGATGCACCTGGAATATGGGTATCACAGGCACAGAGGCGCCGTTGTGCGGCTGTACCGAGACGTGATCGATGATTAGATGAGCGGGACCACCTTCCTCCGACAGTGGCACCTTCTTGGTGGTCAGCACCAGAATCTTGCGCTCCTCCGGTTCGTCTGAGAGGGCAACAGGCGTAGTGGAAGCCACAGGCTCACCCGAACGCTTGGCAATGATATGCTCGCTATTCTTAGCCGGCTCTGGCTTTACCTCAGTCACCACAGAGTCTGGAGCACTGGCGCCATTTAAACTCAATGCTGACTCGAACAAACTATTCTCTAGATTGCCAATCAGTGCTTGGAACGAGACCTGCTTCAGCTGATTATCGGGATTGGCAAGCACCTGCCGCTTGACCACATCCTGATCAGGCTGGGGTGCCGCTATAGCTGGCGCATTCCTGGGCAAACCGAGGAAAAGATCATTCAGGTCCAACGGCGCAGCAAGGCTGGTGGATGCAGCAACGGCCAGCAGCTAAAGAAGAAAAAAGCCAAGATTATTAGAAGAGCTCTCAAGCACAGCTCAAGCTTTGCACTCACAGTGAATATCAATGCGCACTTCATGGCTCAGTTGATGTTGTTGATGCTGCTACTTTTTATTTTCGAGTTGTTTTCACCTCAGCGTCTAGATTGATAGTAAGTTCACTGACGAGAGGCGTGCGAGTTTTTAAAGCCGAATCAAAAAAAAAAAAAAAAAAGTTTTGCAGCTAAGCTTTCAGTTAGCACTGCCGCCCAAACGTGGCCTGAATTGAATGCGATACGCTGTTAACTGGTTTAATGCGCTTGCGCTGCTCTGCACCTGTTCTCCTCAAATTTCTGTTTCTCTTTTTGATTTAGTATTTTTCACTTGAAATTCTTTATTTGTGTTTGATTTGTTTCTTAAATTAATGGTAATAAATACAGCCTTCAAATGCCACAATTTTTGGTCACAATATTAGTTGGCGTTTAAGTTAAAAGACTTATCCGTGCTTAGCCTTAAACTGTTTTTTTTTTGTACTCCACACTTCAAGACTGTTAATCTTCAAATTAATATAATTAACATTAGATTGTTACATTTATATTTAAGCTTTTGATATTTGTGCACAATTGTTTCCACGAAAAAATATGAACTTTAAATTTGTCTACGGGGACTTACTCTTTTGTGTGTAGTAAAATGTAAAAAAAAACCCCCAGATTAATCTTTGGCGGAAAAAGATTTGCCTCCTTCTTCGACACCCCCAAATTCGATTGACACACTTTGCTTAAAAGTCAACTGCAATTAAACTAGTTTTTATTTTTGAGTTTTAGTTTAGAGTTTAGAGGGTTTTGATTGGCTACTTAACAAAATCGAACAGTAAATAAATATTTAATTTAAAAGCTAATATTTATATATATTATATATATATTACAGCTTACAACTTTAATTATCAATAGGTTAGGCCATAACTCATACAACAAATAACAGAAAATAAAAGTGCAAATTAAATTTAAAAATTTTCCATGAAGAAAATCTAAGACTAAGCCAAACCAAACTAAACTAAACTGAAAACGAGCTATCAAATTCGAAGTGCGAAACACATCTAGCTGCAAATATTAGTCTGCGATTATGAATGAAAAGTTACGATTGATCTGGTTCTGTGGTGTTGTGAAGCAGCTCAAAGCAGTTGGCTCTTGTGTGAAGTTGTTTAAAAAAAATAAATAAAACACAAATAAAATGACCAAGCCGGATGCAGCCACAGCGACCATAAATTGTTTTATTTTATAACTTAATTAATTACAATTTGTTAAAAATTGTTCTAATTTAATGACGTATTCTGAAGCTTGTTTAAAAGCTTTTACGCGACGAATTAAAAATGAATAATAGAAAATAAGAACTTTCTTGCTGCCTCACGTCGCGTATGAGTGATTCAATGCTGCTAATGAAAAGCTTGTGTTAAGAGCAAAATGAACCATTTCACAAATAAATTTATTATGATTTCTAACTCGATTAGTAGTGGTTTACTTCAGTTAAATGTACAGCACACTCAAATCAGACGTCATACGGTGCGAATACGTTATTTGCGAGTTCGGATAAACAGGCGCGTGTCCAGACGTCGCAAATGCGTCAGCTCGGGGGCGCAATGTTTATGAACCTATTTTTAAGCCAGTAGCCAGGTAAACAACACACCGTTGACATCAACAATTGCGATTTTACACCAGGATGAGAATTGCGTAGACAGCCTGATACAAAAACGAGCACAATTAATTAGAGTCTGCGAGCCAGAAACGGTGATAAAAACAATGACGGATGTTGGGGAGGGGGTGAGGTAGTAAGGGGGCGGCAACTAGAAACAACGGCCCGGAGCCTCGAGATGAGGGGCAGTCTCGAAACCTGTCAGCCAATTAACAGGTATCAATATTTAAGCGGAATCAGCGAGAAACATCCAGCGAAATGGCGATGCCTATAAAAGCGGATGATCTGCACTAATTGGGCTCAAATAAGCAAGCATCAGACAAGCGATCAGAGCAAGCAGGAGCGACCCGCACAGGCCAGTCCACACACACAGAGCAGAAATCCTCACCAAGAGGAGTGTCTTTCACCGTAGTCTCCCAGCGAAAAGTCATATTTTTTTGAGAGAAATGCAGACACATCATGCGATTTTTGGAGCCGCTGTGCTGGGCATGCTGTTGGCCTTTAGCTGCTCCCTACCCCTTGTGGACGTTAGCTCCACCTTAGATAATGACACACTTGAGCAGCTCCATGGTAGTGGCAATGATACGCCCAAGAATCTGTAAGTTCCACTGGAATAGATAGAAATGTTTATAGTTTACTTACCATTTCTCTTTTTTCAACTCTTTAGCTATGTGGTCAAGGCGGTTGTCTATGAGATTGGCATACTCACCGAGGTGGGCGACAATGACACGGACTTTGAGGAACAAGAGCGTGTGGATTTGACCTTCTTTGATGCGCATAGCAATGATAGTTTCATCAATCTGGGCAACATACCACTGCCCATACAGACAAACATTTCCGGCCAGGTGCTCACAGGCATCGCCCCGATCAATATTGGTGCCTTTAGCAGTCCACAGGAGCTGCTGGAGACGCTGCCCCTCACGGGTAGCATCGTCAACATAACGCATAGCGACACCGCCTTCTATCAGCTGACCAAGTCTAATTCGAGCAAAATCGGGAAGCCCCAACTGCTCAGCGAGAATGAGTTAGCCAACTTAACGCATGCCGCCGAACTCTTCCCGACCACCAGTGGATTGGAAGATGTCGTCGCCGCTACCTCCAACGGGCTGGATAATAAGGCCAAGTCAAAAGAGACCTAAATTCATGAACATAATGCAGTGCATTGTGCTCCCACTAATTAATACTACTTAGCTACAATTAATTGTAATAAATAGTCGATATAGTTTTAAGTAGCAGAGAATGGACCAGGATCGTTAGGGACCATAGAACAAGTAATGAACAAAAACAAAAGCCACCACAGAAAATTGCCATTTGCCATGGTCAAAATCGCTTTAAAATAAAAATCGCATTAGTGTTAGATAAATGCTACGAAAATGCGTTACTTATTTGACGTCGGGTTTCTCATGTGACTGCGACTGACTGCTGAAAACTTTCCATTATATATTATATATTTGCCCTCGAATGAGTCAAACAAGACATACATATATCATAATTAAGTGGAAAAATTAGCACACTTTTTATAATGGCAAAAGCCATGAGGATTGATTTTTTTCCGGTCGGAAACAGCTATAAAGTTTACTAGGGAATTTAGAAATTTACATTTAATAAATTTAAAGCACATTAAATTTACAGTTTGTTGCAAAATATTTCCCCGAAGTAAAGCTCAATTGTTAATCTATTTTGATTCACAGACTGCTGCACTTTGGTCTGGGAAACGAAAAACTTCGCATTTTCAATGCTTTTCCTTTGTAAATAAAGACCTTAGATTTAATTTCGTGTCAAGTAAAAACAATTTTCAATGCATTTTTATATTAACTAGTTTTTAATTCTTCTCATTTTCATTTGTTGGTTTGTTTGTTGTTGTTTTAGTTATTTAACTGTAGTACATTGGGGTCTTAAACACTAGTAGATGATATATTTTATATTAATAGATTATATATATATATAAATATAAGTTTAAACTTGTACACGAACATTAAAATTTGTTGAACGTCTCAGATCAGTTAGAGGAACGACTCCAAAACGCCAATTTACGTTCCCCCTATCCACAAGCCTTAGAAGTCCCTCCCCCCCATTCCCCTACCACACCTAGCAACTCTCTGTATTCGACTTCCAGCTAGCCATCGATAATGATGTCAAGGATATCGATTTCGATTTGATGTGGCAACCTTCTATACCATCCAAGGTGTGTGTACGCGTGTGTGAGTGTCTGTTTGTATGTGTGTGTATTAATATATGTACATACTGCAACGCACATTTAGATACTTGTATTCGTATATAGCATAAATAATATTTAGTTTTTAACTAATTTACATAGTCGTATAGACGATGCGCTCTAGCGGCTTCTTTTAAAATATATGTTTGTTTGTTTAAGTGTGTGTGTGTGTGGGTTTTTGTGTGTGCCTAATATTTATGTGTGTGTGTGTGTAAATTATGCATGGTATTCAAACTTTTGTTTTTTTATTAGTAGTAGCTACAATTTCATCGTATTTGCACACTTTCTCTCTCTCTCTTAACATTGTTAATCAACTAAACCGTAACTAGAATCTGAAACTGTATCTGTATCGTGTATCTTGCATCTGTGTATCTTGTATCTGTGTATCCGTATCTGTGTAATCATAATCAATTGTGTATGTTGTGTTATGCGGTAACTTTTCTCTTAATGATCGACGTATGTACTGTTACTGTTTACTTTAGGTTGCGGTTGCTTTGTGGGTTGTTTTTCTAAATTTCTGCTCGCTTTATACAATTCTGGCTTACTAACAAATTATATATAGTAACGCATGCGTCGGCGCAGCCTATAAATCATAAAAACTTATCTAAACGCGCCAGCGGCCAAAATGCTGCAGCAATAACTATGCGAGATTAGGTTTTTTGGTTGATCCACACGATGCGCGCCATTTAATCTGCACAGATATAATAAATATTTGATTACATTGTTCAATATTCATCGATAAGAGTAGAATCTAGAAAACTTACCTATAACATGACTCTCCATATTTGTGATGCGTGGCTTCGATGCGGGCTGTGGTATAATGGTGATCTCATCATTGATCTTCAGCGGCTTCAGCAGCGAATCGTTGGCGGCACCCAGCGAATTACGCGACAAGCCGGCACCACCACCACCACCACTACTACTGCTGGACTGCGACTGTGCGCTATTCTTCTTGCTGTCCATTGCCTTTCTGGCCACAGTGCTGTGCGCCGTATACACATGCGTCTCGAACTGTTTGTACATGCCGAATGTTGCCGTACATACGGTGCACTTGTAGGATAAATGTGCGGGCTTCAGGGTCATGTGATGATCGCGCGATACGTGATTTAGTAGCTTCCATTGGTACATCTAGAATACCAAACAATTATTAAGAGTTCATAGTTATATTAAATATAACAAAACATACCCTGCCACAGACTGGACAGCGTCCGGCATCCTTGCCCTTGTTGGCAGCCTCTTGCATGGAACTTGTGACCAAGCCATGTGAGCCAAGCAAATGCCTTTCCAAGCCCTGATCCGTAAAGAAGCGGAACTGACACTTCTGGCAGTTCAATGGTGGCCGATTATAGATCATCTTCGGATGTATCTAAAGTAGACACAAATAAAAATTTAATTTTAACAGTTATACCCTATATAAGCTGTTTGTATTTTGAATTTACCTTCACTTTGTGCATCCATTGCATATGATTACGCAGCTGTTCCAGATCCTTGATATAGCCATCGCATATTTCGCAGATGACAAACTGCGCCTTGTTGTTACCGCCGCTGGGACTCTGGCCGGGCTTCATGCCAGGTGCTGCCGCCGTTGGCTGTTTGCTAGACGACGCAGCTGCCGCATTGCTGCCAATCGCACTTTGTCGAGGTAGTGGCGTTATTGAGATACTCGGCTGCCCGGCTATGGGCTTCTTGGATGCTTGCTGCAATGCACACAAATGTAAGTAAATATATTCTATATGTAAGCTCAACTTTACTTTTAGCTGAATTTGTATAATAACAAAATCCTCCTCTTACCTGGACAAGCTGTCCTGCGGCGAGCTGATAGCTGTTGGGCAGCGAGAGAGCCGCATTATTGCCAATGGTTCCGCGTACGGGCGCTGGATTTCTCACCATATTGTTGGCATTTGGCATTGCCTTGGGCATCTGAGGCGCCCGCTGACGCATTTTGGCCGCATTCTGTGCGGCGAGCGCCGCTGCCTGCAGATTGCGGGCCTGAGCTGCTGCCTGTTGCTGTTGAATATTCGCCAACGCTACCTTCTGCGCCGCCGCCTGCGCAGCCATAGCCTGTGCGAGAAAAAACTAGAGGATTAGATTGTGACTTCTTTAGGGTTATATATATATTGTTATTACCTGATAGGCTGTTGCTGTGCCAACGAGTCCGTGGCGTGGCTTGATGCGCGGTATCTTGGCAGGTGCTTCCCAATCGTTGGGCGGCGCCAGATTAAGTTCCGGCCGGAACTTCTTGGCGCAGACGGGCTGATGGCGTGCAAGTTTCGCCTTGCCATTATCCTCGAACCCACAGTTAGGGCACTGATGATACGGCAACGGTTTGATCAAGCGCGCCTTAATATTGTGCACCGCCTCCATGTGGTAAACGATTTCGGTGGCGTTGCGTATCTCGAATGTGCAAAAGTTGCACTTGTACAGCACTCCATTCATGTGCGGCGTCTCATAGTGATTCGCCATGGAGAGCGCCGATTCGGATTTAAAGTTGCAGAATTCGCAGCGTTTCATCGTGAACTTGAAGGGTGCATTTTTCGTCTTAGATGCCTGCAGATTGCCACTGAGCGCATTGATGGCCATCTCAAAGTCCTTGGGATCCCGTGTGAGAGATTTGCGCATCTTGCGCTTCTGCAATCGCAACAGATCGGCCTGAACGTATTCCTGGACAAGACCAACGCCAATGTCCATGAAGAATTTACCCAACGGACTCTCGAAATAGTTCTCCTGGCCAGGCTTGGCGGCCACATTGGAGGTGACACCACCCGATGCGGCTAGTGCAGCAGCTGGTTTTATGGCGCCCTTAAGTGCGGTCAGGTCATCGTTGGCCTCTTTGATTAGAACCTTGGTGCGCACACCCGACTCCGAATCATCGTCATCGTCCTCATCGTCATCCTCATCGGATTGCTCCGACCAAGATTCATCGTCGCCACGCTTCTTTTTCTTCTTGCCCTGGGCATCCGCATTGAGTTTATCCTCCTTATTCTGTTCGGTCATCATGTCGAACTCATCTAGCTTATCCGCCACAGCTAAATCCTCGGGAGAGAGCGCATATTTCGTCTCAATAGCTCTGATTACCTCGCGGATATTATCATTCGGTGGCTTCTCATAGATGTAGGGCACAATAAATGAGGGCGCCTCCAACACGAACATATCGTCCGTTAGCCCCGGCAACAGATTCGCATTATTCGTCATGCTGGGTAGACCAGCGGCAGTTAACGAGAGCGTTGGCGGATTTAGCTGCACTGTCGCACCCAAGCCTGTACCTGAAATACCCGTCGACATCGGCACCAGTTTCGGTGGTGCATTGCCAAGATTTGTGGCCACGCCAGTGACGGCATTTGTTATGGTCACCGGATAGACAGCTGCGCCCGCTGTTGGACCTGCCTCGTGTGGCATTAGAGTGCGCGCATCTTTGATGGTCAGCTGCCCCAGACCGATGCCAGTACCCATGTTAACCATGTTAGTGGAGGGCGTCGAGCTGCGCTGTCGCTTGCTGTTCGACTGCAGATCGTCCAGATCGCTCTTGCGCTTGTTAACTCCCTGATCGCTTGGCGAAATACTTGGTGGCGTATCATCCTCAATGACCACACAGTCATCATCATCATCATCGTCATCCTGGACTGGCGGCGGTGGTGGTGCTGCCGCTGCTGGCGTTACCTTCACAACGGGTGACATCTTTTTGCTTGTTGTCTGTTGTGGCGTCACCACTGCCATTTGTCCCGTTTCCGATTCAGAGTCGGAGGGAATTACCACGGCATCATCGGAAGATTCACCGCCGCTGGAAGCAGCCGCAACAGCAACCGCTGCTTGTGGCATTGATTTTGCTTTGCTGGGCGCTGCTGCCTTGCTTGGCTTAGCAGCAGCAGCAGCTGTCGCTGGCGGTGCTTCGGGCATCACCTCATCCTCATCGCTGTCTTCATCCAAATTGACAACACCGCCAGCATCGTCGTCCTCGTCATTGTCATGACCAGTGATATCATTGCATTTCGTTGCTTCAGCTGTGCTCGCCTGACCGTTGGCTTTATTGGCGGCATCTGCTGCTGCTGCTTTGGGCGCTCTTTTAGCTGCCCCCTTAGCCTCTGGGCTCTGAATGAAGCCATTCAGTGGCGTCTCTTTCTTCTTTGACTCGACCACTCCTTCCTCCTCCTCTTCCTCTGTGTGGATTGCTTCGGCTTCGGAGTCGGTTACAGTTTTAGCTGTGCCGCTCTCCTGGCTACCCTCCTCCTCTTCCAGATCATCCACTTCATCGCTGTTCTTCTTCTCTGTTACTAGCTCATCCACCTGCTCCTGCTGTTCCGCAACTGGCTGTGTCGCTGCACCCAGTGGATCTTCAGCATCACAACTGTTTTCCGCTGTACTGCCAATTTTCTCATGATCCTCTTCAGTATCCTCATGATCACCATTAGTGGTCACTTCCTCCTCCTCCTCCTCGTCCTCTGCTCCTTCGTCTCCATCTACTAGCTTTGGGTCTTTACTATTGCCATTCTCTGTGGAGCTGGTTATCTGTGAGTCACCTTCATCCTCCTCGGTAGTCTCATCCACATCCATGGACTCTTCTACCGTCACCTGCTTTGCATCGCCATCAATTTTGCAATCGTCATTGCTATTGCTGTTGCTGTTCGTGTTGCTGTTGCTATCCAGGGGCAACTTGGCGTCTATCACAGCATCCACCACTTTCAGCTTATTGGCTTGCTTCAACTGCTTAGTCTCCGGCTCCTGCTCAACATCCCGCTTAGAGTTTGTCTTCTGCAAATCATCTTGCTGTAAATCTTCGCTTCTGCTGTTGCTGTTGTTGCTATTGTTGCTGTTGTTGTCGTCGTCGTCGTCACTTGCCACCTTCGCTGTTGCCACTGATTTTGCTGATACTGGTGCTGCTGATGTCTTGGCAAGTAATTTGGATTTGGGCTCGGCAACGCCCTCCGGCAAGACGACGTCGACTTCAGTCATTTGTTGTTGTTTTGCTCGGTTGATGATATTGGAATGTGCCTCTCGCTCAATAGATGTCGCTGCTGCAGTTCTTCTTCTTGACGAGGATGCCTGGTCAAATAGATAGATCGATAAGTGAATTATTTTTTTATTATTAATATACAACTCTTGCAATATGATTAGTTCGAAATTTTGGTTATCTTTACCCTCGAATAAAAAACTAACCGGGAAATCTATTTGGCGCATAGAAAAGAAAACTAAAACGTAAATCGCAACGAAAGAGCAGAGCAAAGAAGAATTGGAAAACAAATAGCGCAAAGCTTGCAGAAAATTAATCAAATTGAGTACAACAAAAATTAACAATTGCCAAAATAAAAAAAAAACAAATATCAAAGAAAATTTAAATCTAGGTGAATTAAGCCAGACCTACCCAACAAGAGGGGGAGGGTGGAGAGGGGGTTCAGTCAAAAACAAAAAGAGTTAAATGAGACAAAATGGCTGCCATATTGGATTAAAACTAAAATACAATTTAATATGTATGTATGTAAATACATGTATATATGTATCGACATGTGTATGTACGTATATAATATGTATACTGTATATAGATATGTATGTAATTAACTACATATTATATATATGTATGTAACATGTATATGTGTATGTAACAACATAAAAATGTAATTTTGCGCGGCATGTAAATACATAGATGCATATGTAAATTACATCTTGTGTTGCATAAAAACATACTAACATACTTATATATATATATACATCATTATATATATATATATATATATATAGTTATATTATTCATATATATATATATATACTTATATTATTCATATATATACATACATATAAATACAATGTTACACACACAAATACATACATACAGACTAACAGTTACCGAGCACACAGCAACTGCACGATTGACATACATACAGACATCACACACACACAAAGCGCACCAACAAAACGAGCACACTCACACACACACACGCATATTTATATACAATCTATATATACACATACATACATGCACACGCATACATACAATTATATATACATATACATATATACATATATATATATATATATATATATATATATAATTATCTATGTATGTGTGTATGTAGATACAAACGGACACGCAGACGCTGCGACGGACAGACAAGCAAACGAACGGACGGACAGACAGACGGCCGGTGAGACGACGATGACGACGACGACGTTGGCTTTGGCTCTGTGGTGTTGGTTGTTGGTTGGCTGTGGCTGTAGCTCGCTGCTGCTGCTGATGTAGCTGGCGGCGGTGTGGAGTGGAGTACGGGTGGGTACAGGAGCGTGTTTTGCGCTTGACTATGTATGTGTGTATTAGTGTGTGTTTGCGTATTAGTGTATGTGTGTGTGTGTCTTTATGACTGCTGTTTGTATGTGTGTGTGTGTGAGCAATGTGATATTTTTTAGGCAAGTTGCAAAGAAGCAATTGCAAGTTCTCTAATTTTTGCACAACATCCGCAGCATCAACAATAAGAAACTCAAGTGCAAAACAAACACGAAATAAACAACAAAATGCATCAACTTACAATTTACATTTTACGTCACAGAGCGGCAGTGGCAGGTTGTTGTTGTTATTATTCTGGCAATTTAAGAACGGTAACACATATGATATAAACAAAAACACACCAAATAAAACAAAGGATCACAACACAAAATTTTCTTGATTGTGGACACACACAGAGAGCGAAAGAAAAAGAACGCTATGCCAAAGCGCGAGAATGAACGATAGACGGGGGCAAACAACAAGACAAACTGGAAATGGAAGCGGAAAAAAGCAAAAACCGTCGCTACAAACACAGAGTTGCATGGGCGGCAGCCGGGCACGCAGGGTTGCACATTGGGCTCAATAAAAGTGGCACGCGCGCCAAAGTTATCGAACAATCGATAATATTTCAATTGGCATTTTCATTGCATTTTACAACTGCTGGGGAACTACAAATCGCACAAATGCTACCCTATTAGTATGGTTTTTTATTAAAATTACCAATTGACATAATAATAAAATGTAAATCGTGACGTTTAGCACCTGTTTTGGCAACGTGCATGTGGCTCCCTTAAATGAGCAAGCAGAGAGCAAGCAACTTGCTCAAAGGTGTTACGCTCAAAAATAGCGAATGGCAATGTGAAGCGTAAACGAACCGTTGTCACTGGGCCTGAGTGTGTGTGTGTGCGTGCGTGTTTTCATGCATTCGTCGTCGGTGGGTCGTGTTGCTGTCGTAGTGTTGGAGCGCGCCCATGTGAATGGATGGATGGGAGGAGGAAAAAACAAATTTGACAATTGTACGAACGAAATGAACAAAACAAAAATGAAACGGCATTGGTGCTGCTGCTATATACAAGTCGTCGTCGTAGTTGCCGGCGTGTTTGATGGATTTTTTATGACATTCGGTATTTGTATCTGCGTCGTGCACGAATTTCAAATTTACGCGCGTAAATGGATAATGCTGCTGCCTCAGCTTAATACTAAGTCTTGGGATGCAATTCTAAGCCATGGCCAAATATTGAATGCTACCCCCCCCCCCCCACACACACACACACGCATACAAATTACAATTATATCGATAAATGTGCTATATATTTATATATATGGAGTGTGGTCTTGTAAGCATAGCCAAAGCAAAGCGGCGATTGCCGTCTGTAAGTCTTAAAACTGTATACTCATCACGATACTTCTGCTGGCGCTGCTGATGCTTCTTCTTTTCCAACTTATTTCAGATTACGCTATTGTTCTCTCTCTCTCTCTTTCTCTCTCACTCTGGCGCTCTCACATGCTATGGGCCAATATAATATACATATGTATATATATATATATATACACTCACATATATATATATATATATTTGTATGTATACTTGTATAAGTATGTGTAAGTTGAATGTGATGTGTGTGTGTGCGTGTATGTGGATAGTATGTAAGTGTGTGTGATTTGGTTTATATGCAAGTACAAATTTGAAAGTAACCCGCTTCTCACCCCCGTTGATCGGCGGCAACTGGTAGAAATATGGAATTCGCTTACTGCGGGATTCATTAAGAACTAACAAAACTATCGGTATACTATGTATACATATATATACGATAGCAAAATCTATATATGTTATACATACACGTGACCTTTTCTCTTCTGTTGTCGTCCGTCGGTTGTCAAGCATATTTCAGATACAAAGTGTGTGAAGAAGAAAAACCTTGCAGATATTTCGTGCTTTGATTTATTACATAAAGGACGACGACATTGATGCCAATGATCTAAATAAATGACCGCCTTATGTACCGAATATAGATTGATAGTCTCTAGAATTGAAAATGACTTACTAGATCCTTTTACTAGATCAATTAATCATGATAGTTAATTTTCTTTTCGTAATCCTAAAAACCAAATAGTTTTAAGATCCGCAAGTTAAAAATTATGACCAATAAAATGAATTTTAAAGACGATTTTATCCATAACAATCTTATTCATTCAAACAAACTTAACAATGCCAAATTTGAATGATTGTATGGATAAAGAACCTGTCGCAAATCTCTACACGAAATGGCTAATAAGCATGTTATTAGACTAATATGGATGCCTGGTTACCAAGATATTGAAAGCAGGTGCAAAGCTGATGAGTAAGCTAGGAAAGGCACTCTACTTCCCTCCTCACGGATAATAAAGGTATATGTATAACTTTAGCTACAGGCAGACACAGGTCAAACACCAAACGTGGCCCAATATCAATATGAAACACAGCAGCAGCAACAATAAGAAACTCAAGTAGAGAGCTGTGTAATCTCAGTCGCATAAGCTGTTCTGCAGTAATTCATGCTATAACAGGACACTGACTAGTTGGAATTCATGTCAATAGACTCCAGGTGCCCGATGACTTCTGCAGAAGCTGCAGGGAAAGGGAAGATGAAGAATCGCCGTAACACTCCTTCTGTTTCTTCCCTGCACTTGCCAGGACACCTGCCACTTGGGAAGCCACTTCCTACATAGTCTATCTATGCTAGTAAATACAGGGTTGGCCAAGATTGCGAAATTTGTAAACTCAACGTGTTTGGTCAAATCTTTGAATCTTCATTCTATACGAGTGTAGGAGAAAATCCGTGTTAGATCCAACACGGTATCCCAACGGGCCAAACTTGGCCTATGTGTGTCGACCTCAAAGGTTGACAACCGTTTAACCTAACCTGTGGATAAACTAACGATTAAAGCTGTTTTTCTAATCAGTAGACATCAATTTTGCTATTGTCAAATTTCTGTTGAATACAAAGAATACTAAGGGATGTTTATGCATTTACAAGCATACATACAACTGCGTATGTACATATGTAGATGCTTATATTTTCATATCAATTTCACAAGTACAAAAACTAAAAATGATTCATACATGTATTGAATAATCGAAAGTTTAAATTCTAAAAAAACATACAAACATATTTGTAAGAAATGATTTAGAATATCTTAAGCTGTGATAGTGTGGATTAATGATGTGTAATCTGATAGCATAGCATATAAATGGTAAGAATAATCTTTTCTAATCCATACACTTTAACTTATTTTTATAATGAGTGCCTATTGTGTAAGAATAAAAGAAAAATGAACACAAATGACACAAACCAAATCAAATTTGATGAAATATAATAAAAATTGCAAATACCAATTCCTGGATCTACGAAGCCCATCAAAAATTGTAATCAATATATCAAATACATACATAAATACAGATGTCCACACAGATTTTAAGTGCGCAGTTTAATTTGTATGTATATATAGTACGTACACTCATCCATATGTATGTATATATGTATATATATTGTGTGTGTGTGTGTGTGAAAGGTTTTTAGTGCTCACCTAAAGCATTTACTGCAGTCAACAACCATACAAGGAGACTTCTTCTGGCGACAAACTCGAACTCGAATACAGTTGCAAGTTGAATATGTTTGTGGTAGTGATGTGCTTAATCCTCGCCTGCCTCGTCGTCCTCCTCGTCCTCGTTGAATGACAATTTGCTTTTACTGCTGGCCTTGGACTTTTTGCGTTTCTCTGACGATTTCTGGGATTTGTCTGTTTTGGTTTCCTCCTCCTTCTCTGATTTAATAGTTGGCTGCTTGACACGCTGCTTAAACACAATGGGTTGGCTTAAATCCGCGCGCTTCTCAGCTTCTTCTAAAAATTGCAAGCAAGAATTTTTACTCATTAGCCAAATAAAATAAAATGCGTTTCATATGCCAAATGTTAAAATTGTGCAACTGCAAGTGTTATCCCCTACCCCCCACAACAAAAAACACGTTCCCTTTTCCCCCTCCCCCACCATCCCTATCAGTTAGATGCCAAACCATTTTAAGTCATTTCCTAGTTTGAAATCGAACTCACTTCCCTTCAACACCAGCAGCAACCCCCCGCTTCGCCTACCCCCTTTGTAATATCTTGGGTTTTTCGGTGTCTTGCAGTTCTCCGCCTTTGAATTCGCCAAAGCCGAAACGGACAGTGGCTAACGTCACCCCCCCCCCCCCCCCCCCTCCCCCCCCCCCTCCTCACCCTATCCCCAACACCTATACTTGCCGGCCCTGCACCGCCTCCCCTCCCCTTCGACCATTCATATTGTCGACGTCGTCGTCGTCAAGCCACTTGCTGTGCTCTCTTTGTTCGCCTGTTTCGTTCATCATTGTCTCTCCCGTTTTGCTGCTTCGTTCATTCTTTCACACGTTTTCACCCGATTTTCTGCGCGGGCCTTCTGAGCAGCACCAACAACAACAACAATGGCAAGAGCAACAGCAGCAGCAGAGGTGTCGGTGGCGGGGTGATGACGACGCCAGCAGCAACAGCAGCAGCAACAGAGCGGCAGCTGTTGTTGGTTTTTGGTCGCCGTTATATTTGTTAACTTCTCTTGCCCGGCTGCTTTATCGTGCGCTCCGCTTTGGCTATGATTTTTATCACATGCTCCGCTTTAGCGGAGCCCCCAATGAAAATGTCAGTGTGTATGCTTTGCGCCAGCTGTATATTTGTATGTGAGTGTGTGCATGTGTGTGTCAATGAGGGTGCTCCGCTGGCATTGCCACATTAATTGCAATAGTCAAACTCAAAGGAGAGAGGAACATTGGAACTGCGCTGCCATAGAGACGCACATGGGCGGTGCGTTGCGGGCGTGGCACGCACTACTTTCCCCCACCCCTATCTAATAACAATACAAAAAAAAAACAAGACACAATTTCGAGGTTAGAATTGAAGTTAGCATGAAAACGTATTTTTCATGGAACAATAACAAAAAGCAAAGCATAGTTGAAAAGTGCAACACAATTTTTTTTCCACACCACGGTATAAATCGAAAATCGAGTGTGAATAAAAAAACATTCAAAAGTGCCCGCAAAAATCTAAAAATGTCAAACGCGGCGTTTTTTGTTTTGCTGCACTTTTGCGTATTTTGTTTGCATTTTGTTTATGTTTCATTAAAATGTTAAATTTCAATTGCAAAAACACACACAAACACACACACACGCGCGTAAACAATCAGACATCACTAAACACGAATAGAAATATGCACAAATAAACATACATATATATATTTATATACATATATTATATATGTGTATATGTATGGTACATACAGTGTAGTATAGGGCAGAAAAAAGCGTGGAAGCGACCGACGCTCGATTCTGACTCAACTGAACTGAAAGCCAAACTGCCACAGACGATAACTACATCCTACCTACGCACACACCGACACGCACACATACATACAAATGCAAACTCAAGCATACATACATACATACAAATACAAAATATTTATATACGTGTGTCTCTGTGTGTGTGTGCATACCTTTCGCTATGCGCTGCTGCTCGAGGGCCACCTCATCGGCGCTGAGATCCCCACTTGAGAGGACAACAATTTGGGGCTTCTCGTCTTCGCGTTCGGGTCGCTCCTCACTGGAATCGTAGTCGCAGTCGTCCTGGTCCTGACCCTCGAGTTTTTGGCGCTGTTTTTGTTTGGATTTTTTGTTTAAAGCTGAGCATGAGCGAGGCACTTTGTTTTTTTGGCCCAAAAAGAGCTTACCTTTGTGTCGACGGTGGGCCCTTCTTTGTAGCCAATTTCCGCCTTAAGTTTGGCCAAAAAACTGGGTTCCTGTGGCTTCACGTAGGTTATATTGTTGCGCTTGGACATAGCAATTAGCACATAAGTATAGAAAAATCCTTCAATGCTTTGCAATTGGTTGGTTATTGTTTCTATTTTGGTTACCGCCGTTTACTTATCATTGCCGCTGAACGCTGCTAGTATAGTGTTGCAAAACGCACTTTTGATCAACATTAAATGCTGCCGAATTTATGCTGGGATTGTATTTAGTGCACATATTATTTGATTGCAAGAAAATATTTGACATTCTTTATAAATTAATTACATTTCGGATTCAATCAGATTGATGTTTTAAAGCTTTTCTATTTGTGTTATCGTTTGGTTTTTTTCATATCGATAGCAATGAGAGCTGTCAGCTGTTAGTACCGCAATTGTTGTGCATTGCGCATGAACGCCATGTTTGATTTATGGCTGGCGCGTATCAAAATTTGAAATACCTCTATTGTGAATGGAACCGCAATATGAATTAGTCGATACTATTTAAATGCTAAAATAAGTATTAAATAATAATTTGAGTAGCAAAAATGTCATTGACACCAAAATGTGTTAAGCAAATATTTATATGTGTTTTAGTTTCAAAAAAATAAAACAACGAACCGCGCTTGAATTTTATTATGCTATATATAGAAGATATATGCTTTGCCAGAATGTTGCATCTTCTATATTTGTTTTTGAGTATTCTCGTAATCTATAATTTATTACTGAAATTGATTGCTTTGCTTTCGATTTTGACACTTGACACATTTTTCCACTCAGTAAACCTACTTGCCCCACCGGTCAGTCTGTTGTACCAATTCCCCAAGCAAACTCCCACTTTGCAATGCAGTCAATTTGCAGAATTCCGGGGCCAAATCACCGCTACGCTAACAAGTATCAGTGTTGCCAAAAAAAAAAAATAAAAAATAAATAGCGCCGGCCACATAAAACTGTCGCATAACTTGCACATTTTCCACTTCACCTGCAACGAATTTTGATCAAAATTGACAGTGCAACAATACACAGCGGCATTCATCATCGTACGCCGCTGTCGCATGCAGCAATAAAATATACTCCATGCACCTTTCCTCCCCCCACACCCCCTTCGACAACATGATAAATCATCTGTAAATTGATTTCAAAAACTTTTTCGACAGCCAGCAGCGAAAAAAGGGGAACACTCTAAACATTATGATGTGCCGCAGGCACTCCTTCCCAAATGTTGCACATCCGCGCTTCCAAAAATGGGGGAAACTAATACAACAACAGACATATGCAACAACTAGACAGGACTTGACTTTGACTGCATCCTGGCAAGCGTTTAAATCTCACAAACGTTCCCACAACGTCGAGCTGAGTTCCCCAAACTAATATCAAATTGATAGCTTTTAAATTTGATTCCGCGTCTTATCACCGAAGCGACAAGTTCGACAGGCCCAGTCGGAGTGGCTGTATGCACACACATAATCCCCTCATCTTGTGCCCCAGCCACCCTCTTGTCACTCACTATGTCAGCCACTCCAGCTTCTGCTCCACTAACGGTTCCTTCTATATTCTGCGTTGCATTAAAAATGAGCAGCGCAAAACATTTTATGGCTTGCATGTTCGCCTTGCCGCATGCCACTTTTTTCCGAAATACCCTAGAGTTAAGTATATAAGTATTTATGATGACCCTGCCATAGGAATGGACCTAAACTTTTGATAATTCAACCGATTTTCAAAAACCAAGGCTCTTTGCTCGCGTCTTAAGTTCTCGATTAATTCTACATTTATTATTCAAAAGGCGATTCAGACTCGAAATTCATGTTTAAAAATGTCTGAAAAGTTATAGAGCTATAAATTTGTTAAAAGTAATCAGATTGTCAAAAGCTTGGAACCGAGAAATTCATGTTAAGATTATTTCCTCAAAAAGTGTCAAAAAGAAGTTTAGATTCTTTACACACCCATAACTTTGTTAAAACTGAACCGATTTTTATTGATCATGTTTTGGCCTCTAGAATAAAACTGCATTTTAGCTCGCATCTGTCTATTACTGGGTATCTGCTGGCCAAAACCAATGACTTGGTCGCTAGTATTTGTGATTCCTTTGATGGCAAGCTGCTTTTGTTATGGTTCACATTTTTCGTGCACATTTAAGAAGCAAGTGGTCAGAGTGTTTGCCTTTTATTCTAATCGCTCAGCTTAACTCGACATTTCTTTGCTGGCGTTGCGTTGTGTGGATTGCCGAGCATATCTTGTTTTTGTGGCCTTGACTAAGCTCGGGCTAAACGTGTTTCGTTTCGTATCAGCTTATTTAATGCCAAGCACACACACACATGCATACACACACACACACACTTGCATACACACACACCCATGCACACATACACACACGCACCTCCTAAAACATCACATGAGAAAAATTAAAAATACTCTTGAGCTATGCGCCTCAGGCAAAATGTTATCACAAACTGCATCCGGCGGCATCGGCGTTGCTGTTAGCGTCTCAGTCAGCGTCGCTGTCGCAGTCGCAGTCAACGTCGTTCTCGGTGTCCGTGTCGGGAATATGCAACTTTGCTCGGCTGTGGCTGCTGCTCCTCCGCGTTGTTGTCGTTGCTTTTGGTTTGGTTTCGGTTAATGGCATCGGTTCGGTTACGGAGGAATCGGTTCATTTTCAGTTTTCAGATGCTCGTCGGCATTTGTCGCGTGCAGTTGCAAAACGCGGACAAACGCCATCGCAAATAAAATTATAAATTCAAAATTTCAAATTTGAAAATTTTCCAAAAAAATAATAAAACCAACCAAAAAGGAAAAAAAAGAACAAAACTGCTTGCTGCTATTTGCGGGTCGCAAAAGAAACGCGAACGAAACTGAGCGTGTAAACTTTTCAGAGTGATAAGAGTTGTGGTGATAAACCAAAGAAGTCCAAGCTATAAGTGAACTATCTTAAAAAACAAAACTAGTCGAAGCACACTTCCGTTTTACTGTGCCGTTTATCATCGCAGGCTGTTCGCTTTTGTTTTTGTTAGTTTTTGGAATCGTGTCATCCACTTCTCGCCCGGCAAAAAGTTTCGTTTTGTTTGTTTGTTGTCATCAGCCAAGCGACAGTTTCGAGTTGCACTTGAAGACATTCAGTTGCTCGTTTTGGTTGCTCTGCTCACCGATTAATCATCGAAAACAAGATGCGCTGGCACTGCTGGCAACTGCTGGCTGCTGTTGCCGTGTGCCTGGCCAGCGTTGTCCAACTCGCCAACGGACAGTGGGTGAACTGCCCCAGCGGTTGCACTTGCCTCCCGGGCACAGTTCGCTGCATTCGCGCCCGACTCACCGCGCTGCCCAAACAACTGCCAAAGGATATCAAAGTGCTGTAAGTTCAACGCGTCGAGAGGTGTTTTTTTTTTTGGGGGGGGGGGTTTGGGAGTCTGGTTTGGTACTCGCTGGTTTGCGTGCATAAATCATAGCAAGTTTGGCTTCTGGCAAATCCATAAATTAGTTTTTAATGTGCTTCTCTCACTATCACTGTCTCTCTGACGCTGATTCTGATGCTGAAGCTGTTGCCGGCGTTAATTTGAAGACTTCCTCCAGCAAACATCTGCTTCCCCCTTTCCTTATCCACCATCCCCCCATCTGCTGCGTGTTGACTCAATTAAACGTTGTTTAACTGTGGCAGCAGCGAGAGAATTTGTATATTTATCATATCGCGCGGCATCCGCGTCGCGATTTGTATGCATGCGAAATATTTCACTGACGCTGCATTTATTTTCCAAATGTCAGCAGTTTTCCCCATGAATTTCGGCCAAAGTTTCATGCAGAACAGAAGGGGTCTGAGCGGGTGTCTGGGGGTGGCTCGACTTAGTAAAATGTTTGTGGAGCATATGCATATTTATGCATGGGATAGGCTGCCACCAATTCCATGCCGCATGTCGAACTCAGTGTCGACTGCAAAAAACAGTGCAAGAATAAAGATGTCTGTACTAATGTGCAACGAATTCAATTTGTGACAGATTTGCAGTTGCAAGTTGTCTCTGCATCTGGCAAGTGGGCGTGATAAGAAAATGATAATTGTCATTTGGGAATGAGCTCAACGGGAATGAGTAAATAGAGGTTTATTAATTTGCTGTTCATTCCGAATTAAATCTGTTTGCCTGAATTTATATAATTTAAATGAGTTCTCTTTGTTCTTTTAATTGTTAACTATTATGCTTTTGATATTAAAAATTTGATTGAGTTTCGGTTCAAGCTATGGCAGTTTAAAATGTTGGTAGGGAATGTCTAGAAATATTACTATAATAGTAGAAAAATTTATAATATCCTTTCTCTCAGAGTGTTTACTGTAATCTACCCACATCATCTGATTAAATCTCAATTAGTATTTTCTACAATTTTTCCACACATTAGATTCTAAAAATATATATTTTTCCACTCACTTGCCCTTTAGCACGTGCAACTTTTATTTCTTTTCAATCAACCTAAATTTATAGAAAAGATGTTGTATGCATTATTAATCATGGGTTGCCAGCAATAATTGCACATTTCATTCTTGCGTTTTAATTTGTTTTGTGACAGATTAAATTAATTTGTTGCCTTTTGTTTTCCGACAGTTTTCTGTTTAGCTAAATGTGCCATATAAATATAATTGTTGACTGCCTGCAGCAACAATTTCGTATGTTTGGTAGTTTTTCACTTCCATTGCTATGTCTCTCTCTCTCTCTCTCTCTCTCTCTCTCGCTGTCTCTCTTTATATATGTATTTGAAATTCAGCATTTAACACATGTCGCACATGAAGCTTCCAGCAGGCCCCAAATGCATTAATACTAGTGTCATACTAGAGATATGCATGAGATTCGTGATTCAGTTTGTGGAACGCACATGCTATGATCTTGAATTGTGTGGAATTTTCTATACCCTGTGTGCTGTGGATGGCACTAAGGGGTATATTAGACTTCAGCTAAAAAATATAGAAAAATAATATAAAAAATTATATAGCAAACTAGTAGAAACGACACTTTTTAAAATTTCTCATGCTTAAATTGTTATAAGAGTATTTGAGATAAGATTTCCTTACCATTTTAGCGAAGGTACATTTTTTAAAAATTAAATTTCAGGACAACTTAAATTAACATTTTGTCACCCATTTGGAAAAGGTAGTGTAAAGCTAATATTTAAAATATTGAAAATATTTTTGAATATATTATCCAATTTTGCTTAGATTTCGTGGCAAACGTCGATATTCAAGCACTCTCTGAAATACCATTTCAATATAAGCTGATTTATTTGAATGCAGTTGCATTAAGAGCTTTTGCAGTTAATTCTATGTTTACTTTTTGCAAATATGTCCAAGTCGAGTAAGATTAGCAGTTCTTTCATTTGTTTGCTTTAATTTTGTTAATGGCTTCAAATTTGTTTACACTTTTTGCTCGTGTGAATCTGTAGTTGTGTGCCTCATGTGATGAAAAGACTAATATGCATGAGTGTGAGATAAAAGAGAGAGAGAAAGAGAGAGAGAGACAGACAGAAAGAGAGAGAGAGACACAGATAAAGACACAAGCAACAAATGCAAAAAAAAAAGCCAGATTATATTTAAAGATGGTGCACACATAAGAATTGAAAAGGCACAAGTCAAAAAACAAATGTAGAAGATTGAAATAGGATGATAAAATCGGACTTTATTTTTTGTGTTCTGCCATATATAATATGTATATATTTTAATATATGCTGTTCCCTAACTCACCTGTATGTTTGCAATTCAATTTAAAGTGAATTTTCCATATTTAACTGTGGAAATGTGCCAAGGCCTATGCCACACAAGTTTCCTTTACTGGCTGTTCATCATTCAGTGTTCGATGGTTTTTCTTTGTCCAACTCGCCAAAATACTTGCTCTCTTTCTATTCGCATACACAAACTCAAATGTTGAACGCGAATACAAAAACGCCACCTTTTTGACTTTTTGCCCCCCGGTGCGCGTATTTAAACTTTCAACTAAATGGAGGCAAGTTGTATGTATATGTTTAACATATGCCGCTGCCTCTGCCATCATTCATCTTCTACACCCACACACATCACACACACACTACTCATACACACAAGCTGAGGCGTTGAGCAAATTCTATTTGTACACTTTTTCTTCTCTCTGCTAAATAAATGCACTTGATTTCATTTCATGATGATGCATTTCAGCTTGGTCCGCTTTTATATACAACGACTGTATATATATATATGTATATATATGTACACGTAAATATATATAATTTGAAAGAATATATGTATAAGATATCTTGGGCCAAGCAGCCGCTTAGAACGCTGCCCATTTCCGGCTGGAGTCAGTTAGTTTGTCATTATGTGTGCACTCAGAGAAAACCACTTTTAAGAAGCTAAACACCTTTTTGTTCTTAAAATTTTAATTATACAACGTTTGTGGATGTTCTCAAATATATAAATACGATAACCTTATAAAATGTATTTTTGTACGAAAAAGAATTGTAAAGTATTTTCGTTCTTAATTCAATGGCTAAAGTTTTTTATTAAAGCATTATCAATTAAGTCACGATTAAATTGAAAGCTTAAAAAGTCAATTTCTTTATTTAAGAAACATCAGTACCAGTTTAAAGCCAAATTTATCCCTATTATTAAAAGGAATTATACAAATTAGAAATGTATTGAATTATGAAATTATTCCCTTGATTATTTTTTCGCTGAGTTTAGATCCTGCTCCTGTGCATCCTGATGCTGCAGCTACTGATACAGCTTGGGAACTCTGCATATCTGCCACATAAAACGCAGTTGGAGCCAGGCAGATGTGCTATATACGATATGCATATATCTCGCATATGTATGTAAATGTGGCCTGCACACTCATAACGGTTATTATGTATCTTTACATACACAGATGTGTGTGTGTGTGTAGTTATCTCATGCTGTGCGGTGCATTATCAAAACAAAAGTCGCCACACGTTGCATGCTCGGCATATTAAAAAGTTTGATTAGTGCCCAGCCCAGTGCTCAGCTTTGCATGACCCCCATACTAAAACTATTTTTTGCCAGCTGAAAATATTGTGCGGCTGCTTGCATGCCTGCCTCCCACTGCCAGGCTCCATGACTCCCCTTTATCATTTCCTCATTTCGTCATGTTATATTACGAAGCACTTATGCGTGAGAAATGGCTTGTTCATCCTTGTTGCTGCTGTTGCTGTTGCTCCACTTTGCACACATCCCACAACCGTCTGCCTGCCCGGCTGCCTGGCAGGACAAAATATTGTATGTTATTATTAAATATGCATAAATTTACTTTTTGCATGCCACAGAGTACGGATTTTTTGTGTTTTTTTTTTTTTTTGGTGATGTCACCCATTTCGGTTGCAGTTTTGTATTCACATTTGCAGTTTATTTTCCCGTGCTGCAAATATTGAAAAGTTATTGTAAACACATTCTGATAGTGGTACCGTTGTTAGAACAAAATAACCACAATCTTCACCATCCCATTGGCATTGAGAGAATGTGCTGAAAGTAAACTCAGCATGGAGGATCATATTAAATGCCGCTGGGCAATACACTCGAACAGGTGAAGGCTCGGATAACATCATCAATTGTACGCTGTTGTCGCTTGTTATTTTACAGAAAAAATACAAAGAGCAACTGTGTATTCGCTTACTTTACAGATATCACTTGCTTGAACTTTATACAGTCAACGATGTATATATTTGTATTGATATTCCGATTCGACAATGTTCTGGCTCTTTAAAGAATGGACTCCACTCTTCAGTTACTTTTTCAGGGTATAATTTTAACATGAAAATAAATGATATAATGATAGATAAAATCATATAAGGTCCTGGTTTTTGAAAATCAGTTCAGTTTTCACAAAACAATGGATGTGGAAAGATTTGACATTTCTCCATTGATACGTTTTGAGGATATAATTTTAACATGAATTTGAGCCTTATTTTATGTCATTTTTTGTCAGTTCACTGAATTGGATTTATTAATGTGTATGGAAGTGGGATATTAAGGATTAAGTAAAAAGAGGGCATTACAGCTTCTACCAATGGATATGTGATTTTTGAAATGATTAATGTTTTTTGGTTGCCTTCCTCTCCGTGGCCACACACAGTTTTTGTTGCCTGTGTCTGGGTTGACTTTTCAATTGTTGAACCTTTCTGCATTTGCATAAAAATGAAATAAAATTGATGTGCATACGTGTGTGAGTGTTTGCGTGTGGATTTACTGACCACTTCGAAGTTCGAACAATGCACAAATTGCAATTTGATTTGCAATTATGCAAATGAAACGTCCGACCTGAAATAAAATACCCATGTGCAGCAAATTAGTTAAAGTGAAGCATGAAAAGGCAGCAAAGCCTCAATCGTAAT